TCAGAGGCCAGCGGGGAGGGAGGCGTTGGCGGTGGGGGGCTCCAGGCAGCTCCGGTGGGCGCCCCGGGTGAGGCTGTAGGTGCAGTAGGCCACGGCCGAGCCCAGCGTCAGCCCCGTCATGTAGGACACGGTCATGGTGTTCCCTGCGGGCGGAGCGGGCCTGAGTGCGGGCCGGGCCGCCGGGCGCCCCACAGCCCCAATGCCCCCTCCCCGCCGCCCCTGTGCCCGGGCAGGGCCGAGCCTGGCACCGGGCGGCTCCCGGAGGGCTGGGCGAGGATGGCACAAACCCGGGCTGAGGGCGTCGCTCCGGCTGCCCCCGGGATGCTGGGCGTCTGGAAGGTGCAGCCGGAGCCCAGCCCCGGCCCCGCTCCCGCCGCTGAGGGCAAGGGAGCCTCTCGCCTGGAGCATCGGCCCGAACCCGAGTCCTTCTGCTCCCATCCCCCCCATCATCAGCCGGGACCACTGTCCACTCAGCCCGCGCTCCTTCCAACCCGCCCCAGGCCCAGCGCCTCGGCCCCCCCTCCTCAGGCCTTGCTCAGAGGCCCCTCCGCAGGGACGCCTGCCCGGCCACTGCAGGGTGAGCCCCGCCCCGCCACCTGCCCGCTGGCCACCCCTTCTCTGCCTCACTGTCGTTCTGTGTCCTCTGCCCCCTGCCCGTCGGTGCCGGAAACACACGATGGCGTCCCCAGCACCGGGCGCTCTGCGGCCGGCCGCGGAGTGAGAGCCCGCCGGTGCCCACCCCGCCCGCCGGGTGCCGGCCCGGGTCCCGGCGCCTACCTGCCAGCTCCCGCTGCCGCGGCCCCACCTTGCCGGCGGCCAGGATCATGGGCACGCTGCCGAAGTAGCCGTTGCTGATGCCCATGAGCAGGGAGAGCACGCAGGGCCAGGCGGGGTGGCGCAGGGCGGGCGCGCCGCTGGGGTACACGCACAGGATGAACAGCGGGATGAAGACCACGCGCAGGCAGGCGCAGGCCAGCAGGTGTGTGCCCCGCCAGTCCACGGGCAGCGCCGCCAGGATCTGCGGGGGGCAGGTGTGAGGGCCCCCGGCCGACCCCGCGGCCTCCGACGCCCCCTCCACCCCTGCGGCCTCCGATGCCCCCCCCCGCCCCCGCGGCCTCCAACGCCCCCTCCACCCCCGCGGCCTCCGACGCCCCCCGTCCGGGCAGCCCCGGCTCGGCCCCGCCTGGTCCCCGAAAACCCCGAGCCCCGTATGGCAGTCCCTGCGGGTGCCCACCCGTCCGCACACGGCACGGGTCCCGTCAGCCCCCGGGCCCTCGGTGCAGCTCTGGCACCTACTTGAGGCTCAAGGTCACGGGGCCCAGAGGGTCAGGCCCCTGGAACCTTAGAAACACTGGGGTCCCCTCAGAGCCCTGAGCCCTAGACCCCGGTGTGTGGCCTCTGGCAAACGGCCTTCCCCAAGAGGCCACGGCCGGCCGGACCCTAACTCCCCACCCCTCGCAGCCCAGCCGCTCCGGCTCCGGGGCCCGGCCCTCGGGCTCTCTGCACGCCCGGGCACAGCTGGCACTCCAGGCTGGCTCCCCACGTCCCCGTGGCCTGGCCCTCCTGTGGCCCGTGGCCTGTGGCCGCGGCCCGGGCGCACCTTGCCCACGAAGTCGGCGAGGTTGAACACGGCCATGACCAGGATGGGCAGCCACTCGCCCAGCGCGCAGTGCCGCATCTCAGACTCCAGGCCGGGGAACAGGCACAGCGTGATGAAGTAGGTGACGGCGATGGACAGCATGTCCGCCCAGATGGCGCGGGCCACCGCGTACCGGTGCAGCAGCAGGGCTGGGGGGCGGCCAGTCAGCACCCTCCCCTCCCCCCCCCCCCCCCCCCCGTCCCCGGCGCCACGGGAGCTGCACCCACCGCGGACGGAGGGCCAGGTCCGCTCGGCTCGCGCCCGCGGCACGTCGAACCGCGTGTAGGCTCCCCGCTCACCGCCGGGCGCCTCGTGGGCCGGGCTGTCCTTCGGGGACCCGCCGGCCGGGCCCGGGTTCTCCTGGGGGACAGGGTGCGGCAGGGTTTGGGGGGCCCTGCTGCTCCCACTTCCCTCGGCTCCCAGCGCGGCTCCGGCCCCTCACCCCCTCCCTGCACACCGGCGGGGCCCGGCCCTGGCCCCCTGGGGAACCCCCGTCCTTCCCCAGCGCGGGGCTGGCCTCAGCGCACCGCCCTCTGCCCTCTCGGGGTCTCTGTCCTGTCCTGGCTGAGGGAGCCGTGCTGGGCCAGCGTCTGTGCCAGCGTCCCGCCCTCCCCGCCCCGCCCACCGGGCGGCAGCCTCCTCAGCCGCGCCCAGGACCGGGCCGGACCCAGGCACGGGGGCTGCGAGGACGGCTCGGTCCGGAGCCGGGAGCCGGAGGCCGGGCCACGGACTCACGAAGCAGACGTCGCCGGCGGCCACGTGGTGGAGCGCGCGGCAGCCGCGGGGCCGCACCGTGTGATGGCGCACGAAGCGGCTGCGCCGGACCAGCAGGTGCAGCAGGAAGCAGAGCAGCTCGAGGCCGGAGGAGACCAGGAAGAAGGTGAGCGTGCTGGCCCGCTCGCCGCGCAGCAGCAGCTTGGTGACGATGCGGCTCAGGGACACCATGACGCCCGCCGTGCCTGCGGGGGTCCCAGCCCCTGCTCAGCCCGCCCCACCAGCCCACCCCCACCGCGCCCACCTGCAGCCACCCCACCGCGCCCACCTGCACCCCCGCCCCCACCGCGCCCACCCGCACCCCCGCCCCCACCGCGCCCACCCGCACCCACCCCACCGCGCCTACCCCCACTGCGCCCACCCCCACTGCGCCCACCTGCACCCCCGCCCCCACCGCGCCCACCTGCACCCACCCCACTGTGCCCACCTGCACCCACCCCCTCGCCCAGCCACCACTGTCCCCTGCACAGTCGCCCCGCCCGGCCGGTCCTGGGTGCTCAGCCCGTCCGCCCCTCTCCTGCCTGGGCTCTGGGCCCTCTGCCTCCACTCCAGTCCGCCCAGCCCTGCTCGGCCCCAGACAGGCAATGAGCTGCCACGTGTGCCCGCTCCGGGAGCATTCCCCGTGCCAGCTGGGCACACGCAGTGGAGACTCCATGGAGAGGGGATGCACACGGCTGCAGGGTGGCGGGCAGCAGGGACCAGCCCGCCCTTAGGCGGCAGACGGCGGGCGGCCTGGGAAGGGGTCTGAGGAGCAAGGGGTGCTGGGTGGGGGGCTTGTGGGCCCTGCTCCGTGGAGAGCCGGCTGAGGAGCGGCGCCTTGTGGGACAGGAGAGCTACACCCCCCACACACAGACACACACACACAGGCACGCACACACGCACACACAGACATACGTGCATAGACACTCACATGCGTGCACACAGACACATGCATGCAAATACAGAGGCACACACAGCACACGTGCACACAGACACACACACACACGGACACGGTGACACGCTTCCCCAGCCAGGCAGGCCAAGCTGGTGTGTCCCTGGGAGGAGCCTCAGAGGCCGGCAGCCCAGGGCCCCCCCAACCCCGATTCCCCCACCCTGGGGCTCCGCACTCACTCTCTCCGGTCATCACGCCCTGGGTGTACCGCTTGGGCAACATCCCCGTGTACCCGTAGAAGCTGGATTGCTGCACTTGAGAGAGAGAGAGAGGGAGGGAGGGGGAGAGGGCGAGAGGGAGAGAGGAGCAGCTGTGACACCACTGGCACTGCCAGCGCGAACACACTGCGGGCGAGGGCGCGGGCACAGGTCCTGGCCCGGGGCCAGCCACCTCGCTGGGCGGGAGACCTGCCTCCCTCCCCTCCGCCTGCCGCGGGCAGGGGGCGCTGGCCCATCTGCGGTGAGATGACACCATCGCCTGCGAGAGGCAGAGGAGCCTGGGACGCCCCCGTGTCCCGGCCCCTACAGGGCTGGTGGGGCCCGAGGTACAGCAGGGCCCCGGTTGGCTGGCGGTGCTGGAGACAGGTGGAAGGTGGAGCAGGAGCCGGAGGTGAGTCTTGGTTTAAGCTGCTGAGCTTCCTGGCTCACCTGTCACTGCAGCGTCGCCTCTCCCATCCTCACCGACAGGGCGGGAGGAGGAGCGGGCTGCTGAGGGCCAGCCCCGAGCAGGGGGCTGCCCGCACCCTCCCGCACTGTGCTTTGGTGTTATTTTGTGTAAATTCAGTTTAATTGAAACAAGAAGGAACAGATTGACCCAATGTAGCTTGCAGTGTCTCTAAACATAATTAATTCTGGAGTTCCTCAAAATCATGCCTGCGGGCTCAGGATAACCTGCCGCACTTGTGCTCTTAACACAGACCCGAGCGCCCTGCCTGGGCAAGGACGTTACCCAGGAAGCCTGGGTCTGCCCAGCATTGACCTCTGAACCAGAAGGTCACGGTTCGATTCCCGGTCAGAGCACATGCCCAGGGTGCTGGCTCCATCCCCAGTGTGGGGCGTGCAGAAGGCAGCCGATCAGTGATTCTCTCTCAGCACTGCTATTTCTAACTCTCTCTCAGTCTCCCTTCCTCTTTGAAATCAATAATAATAAACATATATGCATGTTTTTTAAAAGCAGCCTTGGTACATACATATGATCCTAACCAGAGGTCAAGGACAACAGGAGGAGGGGACATGCATGGGGAGGGGTGTGGGATGAGAATGGGGGATGAGGACAAATATGTGATACCTTAATCAATAAAAAAATTTAAAAATGTTTAAAAGCAGCCTTGGTTTGATGCCCAGCGTTGGGCCTTGAAGCTGGTGCCGCACTAGTGGAGGGAAAGGAAGGGACTGGGCCTGCCAGCTTCCATACCGAGAGGCCCCGTCCCTGCTCCCTCCCCGGCCCTACCTGTGCAGCCGAAGGCCACGGTGCCCACGGCGGCCAGGTTGATGGCGTAGGCCTGGCGCCGGGGGAAGAGCTGCAGCCACACGTCGCAGACGCTGATGAAGAGGAGGGGGCCCAGGGCCAGAAGGTAGCCTGCGGACGGCGGGCGGTCAGGGCGGCGGGCGCGGGCTCTGCTCTTTCCTCCCGTCGCGCCAGTCCAGGCGCTCTCCCTCTGCCCTCGCCCTGCCCTCGCCCTTCACGCCCGGTGCGGGGGCGCCCTGGTGCCTGAGAGGGGCCGGAAGGCTGCCTGGAGGAGGTGCTGGCCCATGAAGCGGATGTCAGGGTGGAGGAGGGGGGAGGGGAGAAGACCGGGCGGAGGGGAGAGCTGGGCCCCAGGACCACAACATGCTGGGTGCGGCCCCACACACCACAGCCTGACCGCGGTCCCTGCGAGTCCCCACCGTCCCACGGAGGGCGAGGTGCAGGCCGGGGAGCGGGGACCAGGGAGCGGGGGAGTGAGGGGCCGGGGAGTAGGGGAACGGGGGGGCGAGCGGGGGGCCGGGGAGTGAGGGGCCGGGAAGCGAGGGGGGGGCTGGGGAGTGAGGGGCCGGGGAGCGGGGGAGTGAGGGGCCGGGGAGTAGGGGAACGGGGGGGGGGCGAGCGGGGGGCCGGGGAGTGAGGGGCCGGGAAGCGAGGGGGGGGCTGGGGAGTGAGGGGCCGGGGAGCGGAGGAGTGAGGGGCAGGGGAGCGGGGGGCCGGGGAGTGAGGGGCCGGGAAGCGAGGGGGGGGCTGGGGAGTGAGGGGCCGGGGAGCGGAGGAGTGAGGGGCCGGGGAGCGGGGGGCCGGGGAGTGAGGGGCCGGGGAGTGGAGGGCCGGGGAGTGAGGGGCCGGGGAGTGGGGGGCCGGGGAGCGGGGGCCGGGGAGCGAGGGGCCGGGGAACAGGGGGGCCGGGGAGGGGGGGCCGGGGAGTGAGGGGCCGGGGAGCGGGGAGTGAGGGGCCGGGGAGTGAGGGGCCGGGGAGCGGGGAGTGAGGGGCCGGGGGCCGGGGAGCGGGGGGCCGGGGAGCGGGGGAGTGAGGGGCCGGGGAGCGGGGGGCCGGGAGCGGGGGGCCGGGGAGCGGGGGGCCGGGGAGTGAGGGGCCGGGGGCCGGGGGGGGGGAGCGGGGGGCCGGGAGCGGGGGGCCGGGGAGCGGGGGGCCGGGGAGCGGGGGGCCGGGGAGCGGGGGGCCGGGGAGTGAGGGGCCGGGGGCCGGGGGGGGGGAGCGGGGGCCGGGAGCGGGGGGCCGGGAGCGGGGGGCCGGGGAGCGGGGGGCCGGGGGGCCGGGGGGCCGGGGGGCCGGGGAGCGGGGGGCCGGGGAGTGAGGGGCCGGGGAGCGGGGGGCCGGGGGGCCGGGGAGTGAGGGGCCGGGAGCGGGGGGCTGGGAGCGGGGAGTGAGGGGCCGGGGGCCGGGAGCGGGGGGCCGGGGAGCGGGGAGTGAGGGGCCGGGGGCCGGGAGCGGGGGGCCGGGAGCGGGGGCCGGGGAGCGGGGGGCCGGGAGCGGGGAGTGAGGGGCCGGGGGCCGGGGAGCGGGGGCCGGGGAGCAGGGGGCCGGGAGCGGGGAGTGAGGCGCGGGGCCTGGGGCCGGGCGGAGGCGCACCGGCCGTGATCCTCGTGTGCAGGCTCAGCCTCTCCACCAGCGCGTTGTTGAGCAGCACGGCCACCAGCGCCACCAGGATGTAGGTGAGGCTCATGTCGAACACGATGGAGGTCCCTGGGGGGGAGGAAGGGGGCATGCTCAGGGAGCCCCGGTCCCGCCTCCTCACTAGGATGTCCCGAGGGCGGGCGGCCGGTCCCACGCAGCGCCCTCCGGGCCGGGGCGGAGCCGCGGCCAGGCCCGGCGGGCCCACCTGGGAACTTGTGGTGCAGGTAGTCCACGTCGGTGATGAAGCTGTTGTAGGGCAGCAGGAAGCCCACGCCCGCCAGCAGCATGGCGAAGTAGACAGCGTGGTAACGGTCGTCCGGCGCCCGCCCCTCTGCGGAGACACGTGGTGAGCCCGCGGCCACCGTGAGCCACACGCTGCGAGCCACACGCCACACGCCACGAGCCACACGCCACGAGCCACGAGCCACACGCCACACGCCACGAGCCACACGCCACGAGCCACGAGCCACACGCCACACGCCACGAGCCACATGCCACGAGCCACACGCCACACGCCACACGCCCCGAGCCACACGCCACACGCCACGAGCCACATGCCACGAGCCACACGCCACACGCCACACGCCCCGAGCCACACGCCACGAGCCACACGCCACACGCCCCGAGCCACACGCCACGAGCCACGAGCCACACGCCACGAGCCACACGCCCCGAGCCACGAGCCACGAGCCACGAGCCACACGCCACGAGCCACACGCCACGAGCCACACGCCCCGAGCCACACGCCCCGAGCCACACGCCACGAGCCACACGCCACACGCCACACGCCCCGAGCCACACGCCACGAGCCACACGCCCCGAGCCACACGCCACGAGCCACACGCCCCGAGCCACGAGCCACGAGCCACGAGCCACGAGCCACGAGCCACACGCCACGAGCCACACGCCACGAGCCACACGCCCCGAGCCACACGCCCCGAGCCACACGCCCCGAGCCACGAGCCACGAGCCACGAGCCACACGCCACGAGCCACACGCCACGAGCCACATGCCATGAGCCACATGCCACCGCTCTGCACGCTGGTCTCAGGCCGGCCCTGACGCCCGGAGAGGCCGGCAGGTGGCCCAGGTCCGTGGCCGGGCCAGAGCCAGAACCAGGCTGTGCCCCGCCCGCCGGCCTCCCCGGGTCCCCCCTCCGCTGAGGGAGGCACGGCCGTGGCCAGCGGATGTGCCAGGCGGCGTGTCACCCCGAGGGCAGTGTACGGGCTGCGCCTGCGTGGCCACGCGCCTCCCACCGGGACGGGGTCATGGACGCCCCCCTGAGGCCCCCCAGCCCGGAGCGGCGGCCGGAGGGGGAGGGAGACCCTGGCCTGTGGTTACGGCCGCACCCCTGTCTGCCCGCACACGCGGCCCCGCGCCCAGGGTGCCCATGCTGCCTCCCGAGGGCTCCCCGGCAACCCCTCGCCCACACCCTCACTCACCAGAGTCCGTGAGAACCGGGGCGCCCCTGGCCGGAGCCCCGTCCCGAGCTGCCCCTGCGGCCGCCTCCTCCTCCAGCCGGCAGCCCTCGAAGCTGAAGCTCGTCACCACGCTCCTGCCCGCCGTGCCCGGCTCCTTGAGGCGCTGGCTGCCCACGGAGCCCATGGCGGCCCGGGCTGCGGAGAGAGGGGGGCCCTGCTGCTGCCCGGCCCCTCGCCTGCACCCCGCCCCCCGCCCCCCGCCCCCCGTCCCCCTCGCTGCTCTCCACCCACTGAGCCTCCGTGCCACCCCTGACCGCCGGAGGCCGGCTCGGCGAGGCCAGCAGGGGTGGCGGGCGGCACGAGGGAACAGGTGGAGGGGGAGCGTTTGGAGGTTCGGTGCCGGGCTGGGCGGGCATCAGAACAGACACCACCGAGCACAAGGCCTCCCGGGGAGAGGGGCCGAGGGGCCTGAGCCTTAGGGGCGAACGCCCACCCGCCAGCCGGTTGCACAGGCGGCAGCCGGGGCCGGGGCAAACCCAGGCCCTGGGCACGGAGACCCCATCCCCGCAGCCAGTCCTTCCTCTGGCCTGGCCTCAGAACGGGCTAATGATCCACGGGGGCGAGGCCCCCGCGGCCTGGCCTGCCCACCTGTGGGGCTGCTTGTTAAGGCGTCTATCCTCGTTTCCCTAACGGCCTCCTTCCTGCGTCGTGAGGGGCCAGGCCGGGCCGGCTCCACCGCTCTGCCTGCTGGACGCAGCCGGCCTGCTTGGCATCCGGAGACGCCCAGGGACACGCCGGCCACCGTGAGGCCTCTGCCCGCTGGCGGGCTGTGCCGGGGGAGGCGGAGGCTCAGCATCCAGCCCGGAGGGCCATCCTGCCCGGGTCGGGGAGGTGGGGGGAGAGGAGGGAGCCGGCAGCCGCCATGCACACGGGGCCCCGGCCCCTCCTGGTGGTGGGGGGCCCTGACTCCCCGGCCGCTGACCCATGGCCCCAACACGACATCACGGCTGCCCGGGTGGTGGGGGAGTGCACTGAGGAGGCGCCTCCTCCTTTCCAGGCCACAGACCTCCCTTCCCCTCCCAGGCCCTCAGGGTCAGAGCCTCAGGCTGCCCAGCCCCCTCCTCCCAGCCCCCTGATAATCACAATGGAGAGCGTGCACAGGGGCGGAGAGAGGCAAGACTGGCCGGGCTCTCCTCTGCCCCCACTCCCCGGGGCCCTCCGTGCCTGCCAGGGAGCCCCGAGAGGCCCGGCCACCCTGGGCCCCAGTGTCCCCGCCCGCCCGGCTGTGGACGAGGAAGGCGGCCTCAGGGCAGCCCGGGGTCACAGGGCCCCCGCCAGGCACAGCAGGGCCGAGGGCTCCGGGCCGACCCCAAACCCGGCTCCTGCCTACGTCGGTGGGAGGGCAGCTGGGCAGAGCCACCCTGGGGCCTGTTCAGCATTGACCCCACCCCCCTGGCCCCAGCTTCACTGTGACTGAGTAGATGTTGGCTCTGAGGGTGTCCTGGGCACTGAGAGTGCAGGACGCCCGGCCCCCGGCCAGGCTGACCCCTCCGGGGCTGCTCCACCCCAGAGCCCACCGAGGGGCCAGGTGCCAGACTGGAGAGCCGCCAGCAGGGCCTCCTGGCCGTGCACCCGGTGGCCACAGCCCAGGCAGCTCCCGCCCTCGGCCGCCCGCCCCGTACCCAGGCTGGAGGGAGCTCTCTGTTGCTCTCCCAGCGCCAGCCTCATCTCGCCCCCATCCTCCCCCCATCCCGCCCCCATCCTCCCCCCGTCCCCCCCATCCTCCCCCCGTCCCGCCCCATCCTGCCCCCGTCCCGCCCCCATCCTCCCCCCATCCTTCCCCCATCCCCCCCGTCCCGCCCCCATCCTCCCCCATCCCGCCCCCATCCTCCCCCCATCCTCCCCCCATCCCGCCCCCATCCTCCCCCCCGTCCCCCCCATCCCGCCCGAGGACGGGGGCTCGTGATCTGGGGCCGGAGCTCCCAGGGCAGCTGGTGCCCGCCCAGCGCTGGCCGGGGCCGGAGCCGCCCACCCCGGGCCCTGCAGCTGCCGCTCCAGCACCGCGCCCGCCGCCCCAGGTCTGCCCGCCCGCCCGTCCCCGTCCCCGTCCCCATCGGCAGCAAAGTTGGCTCCCAGGCCGGCCCCCCAAAGGGCAGCCCCACTGCGAGGTGCCCCCGCCCCGCCCTGGGCGCACAGGCCGCCTCTGCCCGCGGCCTCCCGGAGCGGAGCGGGAGGGGGCGATGGAGGCCCGGGAGCCGCAGGTGGAGGGACCGGAGCCCGGGCCGGAGGGGGGCGCCTGCAGGGCAGGCCGGGCCTCCGCTCCCCGGCCGGCGGCGCCCGCAGCGGCTGACGGGGCGGCGGGGGCGGCCGCCCGGACCCCACACGGGCGGCGGGGAGGCCCTCCCGGACGGGTGGGTGGTGGGGCTCGGGGTCCCGGTCCCGCCCGCGGCCCCGACTCGGCGGCAGAGCGGGCGGCAGACAAAGGCTCCGACAGGTCCCCGCCCGCCGCGGCCGCTTACCTCGCCCGCCGGCCTGCCCGGCGCCCACCGCACCCGCACCCGCACCCGCACCGCACCGCACCGCCGCGGCCGGGCGTCCTGCGTGGGTCCGGCCGGCGCCCCGGGTCGGCGTGCGTGTCCGGGGTGCAGAGGCGGCGAGCACAGCAGGGGCCCCGCCCCGCCCGCCTCCCCACGCCGTCCCCCGCCTCCCGCCTCCTCCCGCCCGCCGCTCCGGCTCCGCACAGGCGGGGGGGGGGGGGGGGGGGGCAGAGGCTGAGGTCTCCGGACCCCAACACCCAACACCCGATGGGTGCAGTGACTCAGTCCCTGGCTGACCTGGCCCGCCCCCCACCCCCGACACCCCGCCCTCCGACCCCTGTCCGCCGGAGACCAGCGCGGGGAGGGGAGCGGATGGTCCTGGGACAGACTCCGAGTTCGGAAGCCCCTGTGCGGGGGACCCAGGATCCCGTCAGGTTTAGGGGTGCGGCAGCCCCGGTGCTCCCGGCTGAGGCTGAGCACGGGCAGCAGCTGGGACCCTACCTGCCTGGTGGGTCTCACAGGTGCTGCCAGTAGCCCCCCCATCTCCACCAGAGGGGTTCCTCCTCCTGCCTTAGACGCCCCCGCATCTCCAGGGAGCCCCCCAGCAGCCCCAGCCCCACCCCTAGGCCCCTAGCCCCCACCCCCTCCCAGCCGCCTCTGCCTGAGCTCGGTCAGCACCTGCTCACGTGCTGTGCCCAGAGCAGAGGCCGGGGCTGCGGCCTGGCAGACGCAGGAGCCAGAGTTTGCCAGTGAAGAGGAAGCCGGGGACCCAGCCTGTGTGCGTGGGGCGTGTCCCCGCACTCGGGCCAGGGGTCCTTACTGGTTTTTACCCCCCTGAGGGTATTTTCCCATTGATTTTCAGAGGGAAAGACAGAAATAGCCACCACCTACCTGCACGTGCCCAGACCAGGGCCGGGGCAGGGAGGAGCTGTCACCGAGGTGTGTGCCCTGGATCCAGCCCTCTGGCTATAGGCTGATGCTCTATCCACTGAGCCAGACAGCCCAGGGCCAAGCCATTACCCTAAAGGGCTGAGTCTGATGCTGCCTTGGGCCTGAGATGTGCCGGAAGCCATGCCGAGCTGTCCTGGGTGTGGGTCACCACTACTCGCTGTGTGACGCGTGGCTTTACTTATTTACTATTTACTAGAGGCCCCAGGGGGTCCCTCAGCCTGCCTGCACCCTCTCCAATCTGGGACCCCTCAGGGGATGTCGGACTGCCTCGCGGCTGGCCAGGGATTGGGCCGACACCGGCAGTCTGACATCCTCTGAGGGTGTGGTAGTGCGGGGAGTGGCAGGAGGTGGGGAGGGCCCTGGCCAGGCAGGTGCCACGCCGCTCCGGCTCATCCTGGCCCCGCTGCACCTGCTGCCCACCAGGGGCAGCTCCCGCGTTGAGCATCTGCCCCTGGTGGTCAGTATACGTCATAGTGACTGGTCACATGGTCAACCGGTCTCTTTATATATATTTATATTTATATTTATATTATATTTATTATCTACATAAAGATCTTTTGAGGAGAGAGAGAAATCATGGATCGGCTGCCTCCTGCACACCCCCTACCAGGGATGGAGCCCCGAACCCAGGCACGTGCCCTGACCCGGAATCAAACCAGCGACCTTTAGGCTGTGTGAGGACGCTGCCAGCACCTGGGCCTCCCCGGCCCGGGCACGTGATGCAGGGGACGCATTGGGGTGTCAGTCCAAAGCAGGGTCCTGGCAGTCAACCAGCCGTCCCTGTAGGAGGCATCTGGCCGGGAAGACAGGCAGCTGAGGGGCTGCCCAGGGGTGGACTGGGCAGGCGTGTGCCGCTGGGGATGGGTGTGCCGGCTCCTGCCTGCGTGCCCTCCCTCGTGGCCGGGAAGGCTCCCTCAGACGGAGACACACGAGCTCAGGGCCTGGAGGACGGAGAGGCACCGTGTGAGCAGGTCTGTGGTCGGGGCATTCCGGGCAGAGGGAGGAGCCAGTGTGAACTCCTGAGCCAGAAACACACCTTGAACTCAAGACAGAGCGAAGGTGCAGGGGACAGAGGCGGCCCTCCCGGAGCGACACTGGCTGGGAGGTACGGGGGGAGGGAGGGGTGGCTGCAGCGGGGGCGTCTTATTGGGAGGAGGGGGCGTGCGGGGACCTGGGATTTGAAAGCTAAGTTGCTGGTTGGGGAGCAAACTGGAACAACCCTCCAGAAAGCAAATTGGCCTAAAAAATACTCCCCTTTGGTCAGCAAACTGCGGCTCGAGGGCCACATGCGGCTCTTGGGCCCCTTGAGTGTGGCTCTTCCACAAAATACCACGGCCTGGGCGAGTCTATGTTGAAGAAGTGGCGTTAGAAGAAGTTTAAGTTTAAAAAAATGTGGCTCTCCAAAGAACTGTCTATCGTTGTCCTGTTGACATTTGGCCCTGTTGACCCATGAGGTTGCCGACCACTGCCCTGGAAGCAGGTTTGGCTCACCCGTTGAAAGCGTGAACGCGAAAACCCTTTACTCACCGATTCTGCTTGTGAGAACTTGCACAGCGTCCGACGTGCGTGCCTCTTGGGGTCGGACACAGTGGATGGCCTTCTCTGGCAGCAGCAGACCAGAGCCCCCGAAATGCCAGAGCGACCACACCACGCAGCCGCCAGGAGAAGGCGGCTCTGCCTGTGCCGATTGGAGGGACTGACAAGAGGCATCGTTGTTGTTTTTCTTACAGTGTGAGGCGCAGCCTGGCGCTGGGGCTCAGGGGCTGAGCACCGACCAAAGTCACCGGTTTGATTCCCGGTCAGGGCTCAAGCCCAAGTTTCAGGTTCGGTCTTGGTAGGGGGTGTGCAGGTTGATGTTTCTCTCTCTTCCCTCCTCCTCCTCCCTCTCTCTCTAAAATAAGTAGAAACATATTTATTTATGGAAGGGAGAGGGATAAAGAGTTAGAAACATCGATGAGAGAGAAACGTCGACCAGCTGCCTCACGCACAACTCCCACTAGGGATGTGCCCACAACCAAGGTACATGCCCTTGACCGGAATGGAACCTGGGACCCTTCAGTCTGCAGGCCGATGCTCTATCCACTGAGCCAAACCGGTCCTGGCTAGAAACATTTTTTAAAATACAACTAGAAGTGTAAGGCGCAGTGACATGTGTCATGGCTAATTTATGTGTCCACATGGTGGGCCTCACCCACGCGCTGTGTGGGGGTCCATTTCTCTGACCTCTGGCCCCCAGGTCAGAGTGCACAGGGGGAGCGGGGGGGGAGATGGGTGACCAGCGCCGTGAAAAGGAACGGGCCACGGAGGCCCCACCCCCGGACGGACCTCACGTGCCCGGCGCTGAGACAGGCAGACAGACACGAAGAACCTGCCTGAGACTCCGTTCACGGGATTGGAGACCAGCCGCCTGGATCCGCGGCGGCCGAGGCGGCCACGGCCTGGGAGGTGGGGGGCGAGGGGACCCCGGGGTAAGGGTTGCACTCTGCATCAGGAGAAAGCGCCCACCTGTCCCAACTGGCAGACGCTCAGCTTGGGTGCGCATCTCGCTGTCGGTACATTTTGTCTAAAACACAGCAAAATAAAACCAAAAGCAAAAGCGAAGGCGAAGGTGACCGCTGCCTGGGGACAGGCCTGCTCGGGCCAAGCGCACCGTGTCTGTGAGCGGCTCTGGCCTTCAGGGGGAGGGTGGACAGCGATGGGTGAGGAGACGGACGCCCTCAGACACAGACACACCCGCGGTGAGCAGCGGGCACCGCCCCACAGGGTCCTCCCCCCTCCCCACTGCTGCCCGGGGGGCAGAGGCAGGCCCCGGCGCCCGGGCCTTGTTCCTGCCACGCAAACCTAATTATCTCCAATTTATTAGCTCACAGCCAGAACCTTCCCGTCAGCCCGCACCCTAGCCCGAGCCAGACGGGGAGGGCGCGCCCAGCGGGAGGGGAGGCCACGTGGGCCTGTCTGGGCGGAGGGTCTCCTGCCTCCATCTCCCTGGTGCAGAGCCCGGTTCCCGGCCAGAACAGAAGACCCCGGAGCTGCCCAAGACAAGAAGTCCCTTTCCCGCCCGGCCAGCTGGCTCGGGCTGAGCATCGACCTAGAAACCAGACCAGGGTTCCATTCTGGTCCGGGCACAGGCCCGGCTTGTGGCTCGATCCCCAGCTGGGATGTGCAGGAGGCAGCTGGTCAGTGATGCTCTCTCATCACGGATGTTTCTCTCTCTCTCTCCCTTCCTCTCTGACATCAATAAATAGATATTTTAAAAAAATAGAACGTCCTTCCCAGGGCAGAGGGTCTGCCCCCTCTGCCAGCACCGCCAGCACCCGTCGCAGTCAGACTCCGGAGGAAACTGAACAAGCCCCCCCCCCCACAAGAGGGCAGGGACCTGAGTGCTGAGTGGACAGGGTGGGGTTGGAGAGTCCCAGCCTTCCCCCCACCCCCGCCCTCCCTCCACACGGGGATTTGGGGAGGGAACTGCCACGTGGGCGGGAGGCCACAGAGGTGGCAGCTGCCCCGCCCCCAGTCTGAGGTCACAAGGACTCGCACCCCAGCCAGGCTTCCGGGATCGGGGTGCCCCAGCCACATGTGGCCTCGGCCTCCACCGCTCAGGACGCCCTGGCCAGAGGGGCAGCAGGAAGGGGCCCGGGCACTGGAGGCCGGCCCTCAGGGAGGGGGGGTGGGGCCGTGCCGGGAGCCCAGCAGGAAGCTCTGCCCCTGGCCGCTCTGCAGGGGATACTGTGGGGGGGGAGGGGGACGGCGGGGGAGGGAAGGGGGAGTGGAGAGCCCAAGGGCAGGTGCTGTCCCAGGAGTCCTGCCGCCTTCCTCGCTCTGCCCCACCCTTCCGTGCTCCTGCCCATCCAGCACCTCCCTGCCCACCCACCCAGGCTCCCCATGCACCAGCAGCACCCCATTCCCACCAGCTTCACCCCCCCAGAGGCCACTCTCCCCAGCCTTCACCCACATGGTTAGCTCCCTCCACCTGCCTATCAACACCCCCCACCCCACCCTCCACGTCTATGAAGCCCCTCCTCCAGGGAGCCTCCCAGACCGAGGGGGTGGAAGGGCCCTGGCAACCCCTGGGGATCAGACATCACCCGAGGGAGGCTCAGGACACCGGCTTTACAGTGGGGCCCGGGCCCAGGCCCAGGAAGCTGGAGGTACTTGCCCAGTGGAGGGAGGGCTGGTATGGGGAGGGGCTGGGGGCTGGGGTGCTACAGGGGAGTGGGGGGCAGAATGACATTGTCTCAAGGCCTGCTCCCCTCTGTGCTGACCCCAGACGGAGGGGGAGGGGGATCCGACTTACAAGCGCCCCCAGTCCCAGGCACACACCCAGCAGCGCCCGCCAGGCGCTCTGAAAACACCCATTTCCCGGCGAGGAAAGTGGCACAGAGAGCATGAGGGGCGGGGCGTCCAGCTGTGCTGGGCGGAAAGACCTGACCAGACGCCCTAGGACTGAGCCAGCGGCCCTCCCCGACGGTGGGTGCCCAGCCGGACCGCACCTGGGCTCACCCGGGCTCCGGGGACTGGATCCCTCGCTGCTGGAGGAGGCTGTGAGGTTTGCGGGAAGAGGCTGTGAGCAATTAGCAGGAGCCAGGGAAAATGTTTGGCTCCGCGGGTGGGCGATGAGCCATCTGTTCCCGAATGCTGAGCAAACAGTGGCGCTGTCCTGGCACTGCCCCACCCGCAGGGCTAGAGCGCTGCCTGGCACCGGCTGTGTCCACGACAGGTGCTCGCCCCCTCTGCGCCTCAGTCCCTGCCTCTGCGAGGCCCGGAGCTGGAGCTGGAGCCGGCCAGTGGCAGAGACTCCGACCTGCCCTGCTGCCTCCTCCTGCTCCCACCCCCGGGCATGTCCACGGGGATAGGGACAGGACAGGCCTGGCCTGTGGGGTTGGGGTTTTGTTTCCACGCTGTACACGTGGCTGTATGACAACTCACCGCCCAGGAACGTATGAGCAGGCATGGAGCTCCGGATCCGAGACCCCCTCCAAGCTGCTGGCCGGTCCAGGGCCCAGGACCCAGGACCCGGCGCAGGGGACAGTGAGGCGCCCCCGGGACTCCCGCTCTCCCGCCCGTGCCTTCAGCGGCCACGTCCCCAGAGCCCAGCACGTTTCCACGCCACCAACGCCACGCAAATGCCCTAGAACCCTGCCCTGTGCGTCTTGGTTTGGAAGAGTTCAAGGTCCCTGAGGTTAAATTCTGTACCTCTGCCCCCCCAGTCTGCACAGCTCGGGAAGCTTGAAATACAAGGCACACGCCCCACGCAGGTGCTCCTCCGTCCCCACTCCCCACAGCTCGGGCCGTGACACTAGCCTGTGCTACACGTGGACGTGGGAACCGCTCTGCTTTCTGTCAGAGACAGAACACTGCACACGCAGGGGTCACAGGAGGCCGGAGCTCCGAGGCAGGCCCTCGGGTCCGCTCCCCGGCGGAGGAAAGGGTGCGAGCACAGAAAGGACCGCTGTCCACCCCACGTGGGAAACAAGACGGGAAGCAGAACCTGCCATGGAAGAAATCCCAGAGTCCAATTTGGAAAAAATTTAATAACAAAATAAAGAGGAGAACATGGTCCAGGCGGGGCTCTGGGGGCCCCTGCCGCCCCGCCCGGACCCGGGCCCTGGTTGAGCAGAACCAGCTGGACCGTAGGCCTGCTCTGCACTGTGCCCTGTGCACGGCTGAGGAGCCACAGCTGCTGGCAGCCCGTGGCTCCGGTGCCCTGTGCTGGCTTGGCACATGAATGCATGCAAACAAAGCAAGGAGTTCAAGGGCTTCACCGGTTAATTTTGGCAAAAAGAGAAAACAAACAGAAAGCTAAAATCCAGAGCAGATTAGAAGCCACTGAAGTGACAACCATGTATTTCTCAGAAGGAAAGAGACTACAGCTACAACCTTTTTCTCTTCTTAAGTCTCTGCCATCCTCTCCCCCAACTCGGGTCAAAGTTCATAGCAGCATAACACAAAGTCCTCTGTCAGCCAGTGTTCTCTGCTGTGGGGTCAGAGTTCACAGGTCAAGTTCAGTCCGTCCGGAGGATCATGGGAGGGTGCTCGCCGTCTTCCTCCAGCCGCAGGGCGCTGGCTTCCTCCTCCAGGCACGCGCCGCCCACGGCCCCCAGCTCATCTGTGTAGGCTGCAGAGAGAGGTCACCAGAGCTGGAGGGGCCCTCAGGGGCCACCCGCGCACACTGCCATTTGGGGAAGGTAACTCAGCAGTTGAACAGCCATGGCCAGATGGCCACCTGTCTGTCCGCACGCTGACAGCCCTGCCACAATGCACCTCCTCCCAGGCCCGGGGCCAGGAGGAAGGTCAGACAGGTGGAGGGCAAGGCCTCAGCACAGATGCTGGGGAGGCAGCGAGCAGCCACCCAAAGCCAGGACTGTTTTCTCAAAGAGGAAGGAAACAGATTCCACCTCAGGCCAGGCAGCCAGGTGACAGCAGCCGGTTCTGCCTGAGGACGCCTCTGCCCTGCCCAACACCAAGCAGGCAGCCCTCCGGGAGGGAAGCAGGCGAGCACAGGGGAGGTCCCGGCCTCACTGGCCCCCAGGCCGTCTCCCTCAGCCTTACCCAGTCTCGTGGGAGAGGCAGGCGCGTGCGGGCCTTTGGCTGTGGCTGTGCTGTAGGTCTGAGTCACCAAGGGGCAGTCGTGAGAGGCAGAGTCTAGGATCTCATTGGTTGTCTCCATGCTGCCATCCAACCTGGTAAAGCGGACCAGAACACACACAGTGAGGACCGTCGGGCAATGGCAGGGCCTCGGGCCTCGGGCCAGACCTGCAGCGACAGAGGCGAAGGCCACTCGCCAGGACACGCACGTGCGCTCGAACGTGTGTGTGGGTGTGTGTGTGTTCACTCAGACTTTACATGGGAAGTCTGACGGAAAGACTCAGGCCTCTGAGACCAGCTAGTGCCTGTGGGGGATAGTGGCCACAAACAGGAGTCCCTATGAATGCTCCCCGCGCACGCAACCATCAGCACGGCCGGGACGCTTCTAGGCGATAAGCAGCAGAAAAGCAAAAGCCCACAATGCACTGCTTCCCCGTGAGCCAACACCAACTCCTCCTTTCAAAGAGAAAGCCTCTCGCAGTGAGACCGCAGGCCCTCAGAATGCGCCCTGACTGTGCGGGCGGACGGGCTGACACCCTTTCTGTGAGTGTGAACCCCTCCGTCTGTCTATCTGCAGCCCGTCCCTCCGGGAGGGGACGCCCCGCCCCAGGAAGGGCAGCGCAGGGCTGACCACCTCCACCGTCCCCGCCGGCAGCGCGTGGTCCCTGCGCCCACACCAGGACTGTCTGTCTGGGAAGGCGGAGCTCTAGGCGGCCTGGGCCACAGTCTCTCAGGAAACGCCCGCTCACGGGGGCCCGCCGGCAGCCTGGCCGAGAGAAAGCCGGGGTGGGGTGGGAGGGAAGAGGCCGTCTTACTTGTGCTGCTTCATGAGGGTGCACTCGCCGCCCTCCTGGGGGTCCAGGTTGTACATGTACAGGTACCCGTCGGACGCGCCCACCAGCAGGCGGGGGATCTTCTGGATTCTGTGGGAAGAAGAGCAGCCACGTTCTAGGACCACACTGTGACGGAGTTACTAACTTGGCTGGGCCGGGGGAGTCCCTGCCCCAGAGCGAGCAGATGCAGCCAAGTGACACTGCGTGCGCGGGACCAAGGCCTGCCACCGTGCTGCTGCGGCGCCAGCCTGGAAGCCGAGGGCGCCCTGACGGGGAGAGCGCGCCGGCGCCCCAGGGAGAGCAGGAGGCGCACTGGGTCTCCCGGCTCCCGAGCACTAAGGGCGGGCGGCTCCACCAGGCGGCGGACAGAAAGGATGAACACAGTCTGCGAGGCCATGGCAGCGCGCTCCCAGCCACGCAAGGTTCCCCGAGGGCTCGAGGCCCTGACTCATCGCCACAAGGGCTCCAGACACACAGGGAGCTCCCTCTGCAGGAGGAGCTGCAGGAGCACTGGCCTCTGACGACCCCAGTGCCCCTGTGCAGTCCCCGCTGCATCACAGGCCGGGCGGATGGGAGGCGGCTGCGGCACTCACGTGGTCAGGGAGCAGATGTTCTTGTGGCCGCAGAAGGGCAGGCGCACCGTGGCGAAGGCCCTGCCCTGGTTGAACATCTCTGTGACCTGGGAGGGCAGGTAGCTGGTGGAGTTGAGGAGCATCTTGCCCAAGTAGCCGGTCCAGGTGGAGGGCTCCTCCTGCGGCCTGCGGGAGGCAGCGGGAGCGTGACCACCAGACAGGGACCAGCCCGAGAGCTACAGAGAACCCCTCTTTCAGGAAAGGGGGCAGGAGCCACAGCCTGAACGGCCTGCCCCTCCCAAGAGGCTGTGCAGATTATGAAACGATCAGCAGTGAGCAGGAGATGTGCAGGCCCACGCAGGGCCGCCTGGGTCTTTTTAACAAAGCCTCAGAGCCTCTGAGCACTGCTTCCAGCTGCTCCTTTCCCACGGCCCTTCGTCACTGGTCCCCCGTGCGCCTGCGAGTTACAAAGTGCTCCCTGGAGGAGGAGCCCCTGAGCAAGCCTGGCTGGGAGGCTGGCGTTTTGGGAACCAGCAACAGCGCTCGTGCCGCACACGCCCACGGCAGGGACACACGTCTGTCACCTGCTTTAGGAAGGCACCCACCCGGGCGGGCCATGTGCCCGGACGGGCTTCTGTGCGCAGGGGTGTGCCGAGGAGGACGTCTGCACTGACACGGCGGCCCCCGCGCCTGCCGCCAGCCTCCCCCACAGCACCTCCCGCTGAGGGCACCTCCCGGGACAGACCCCTCCCTGCCGCGGGCAGACTCGGGGACACCTATCCAGAGCCGCCGGGGCCTGCGCCGGCAGGAGCAGGAGGCAGCGGAGTCTGGGCTCCATGTACACTGTCCGTGTGTGCCGGACAAAGTCTCCGCTATTTTCCAAACCACCGAATGCTGGCAACTCACTTTTCCTTCACGGTCTCGAGTTTGAAGATGTGCACAGTCTCCGTGTTGCTGGAGGCGGAGAGGAACATGCCGTCCATGCTGAAGGCCAGCGAGCAGATGCTCACACACCTGCAGGCGGGAGGGTTAGCCGTCACTGGGCCGAGGCCACCACAACCTCCCGAGGGCCTGTGCCCAGCGCCGAGGGGAGGCAAGTTCCCGACAGCCACCCATCCGCCGGAGCCTCCTCCCTCCTCATCCTCCTCAAACATTTGAGAGAAAAATGGCGAGAACGTGAAAGCAATTCTTAAATGTGTTCTTAAGCAGCCCATCTTCTTTCATTTAAATTACAGCAATTCTTAACACGCTGAGGGTAAACTGGCCACTTTGGTGATGTTTAACAGAGTAAAACTTCAACATTGACACACTAGATCCTACAGTTCGTCATAAAGTCACGTAAAAACCTAAAGCCAGCAAACAGCCTGCATCTTCTCCCAGGCCGGGAGCACGCGCGGCCCGCACAGGAAGGCCCCTGGTCACTGGGTGCAGAGGAGCGGCCCGCGCCCAGGCCCTGCCAGTGAAGGGGCGCTGGGGCAGGTGTGCTTCCGCTGGAAGCTTGGCCCGAGGGACCCCGGATGCAGACTCAGAGGCACCGGGGACCGCACAGGCCACGTCCCCCTGGAGACGGGTTGCCATGTGAGAAACTGAACGTGGAGTGGCTGGGACTGGGAGCAACAGGAAGGAGATACAACAGCTGAATGGAGGGCCAGCGGCTGGGTACTGAGGATGAGGAGTTGGGGGTGAGGCCTCAGGCAGAGGAAGGCTGGGACAGGGTCCTAATGTCTGTGCTCTGCCTGTACTCTCGCCCCCAAAGAGCCAGAGCTGCGTCTGAGGGGAGGCCTGCGGGGCCAACAGCAGACACCACAGGAGCGCGAGGTCAGAGGGGGCGTGAGCTGGGCGGGAGGACGGACGGGACAGAGAGGAGATGGGGAGTGGGGGCAGCCCTGGGAAAGCCGACGTGCCCGGGCCTCACAGGTGCCTAAACGAGAGGAAGGCATTCCTCTGGCTGGACACCGGGTGGACGGACAGCGGCAGTATTTACTGAGGGCGCGGGGGCAGGCGGGGGAAACACGGGCACAGGCAGGCACACGTTTGGGAGGCTGTGGCTGCGGAGAGCCTCCCTGGAGCGGTAACGCGGGGCAGGAGGGAGCAGGAGGGAAGGAAGAATGCAGGGCAGGGCGGGGGGTTAGGGAGGGGCACCGTGAGGAAAGACGCGGCTGGCCGCCTCGCTGTGGACACCCGCTGACTGCACCTGGGGAACCGCCCCGGGAGGGAGTGATGCCAGCAGAGGCTCGTGGGCAGGAGGAGGGGCCTGCAGGACCTCCTCAGCCCGGGAGGCGGGCTACCAGAGCTGTCTGGGCTGGAGCCGAGCCCAGAGGTCAGGGCCCGCTGAGCCAGGCCACACGGCCACCGCGGGGCCCAGGATCTGGCTTTGGAGCCTGGATCCCATCTCCAGCGGGTCCTGAGGCAGACCTGGACGCCCCTTCTCCGAGGCACGGCCAGCAGGCTCTGCAGGCGGCCGCGAGCAGGAGGGAGGCACGCTGGGCCACGCTCTGCTTGTTTCAAAGGCAGAGCCGCTGGGGGGGAGGTGAAGGGCCGCTCGTTTTCAGGGCAGAGAGTGAGGACGGAGCCTGTGAACCAGGTCAGAGTCCGCAGCTGCCCGGGGGCAGGCTGGGCGCACCCGGCGGCCCGGCTCTGCCAGTCCCTCCGCTCCCCTATCTGGCCATCACTCTGCGTTGAGCCGGCCTGGTCATGTCCCTTCACCTCAGCCATCCAGTTGGGCTGAACACGCCTGTCCTTCACCTGGTGCCCTATGGCCACGTTTCCACTTGTTGGTCACAGAGAACGGAAACTGAACCCAAAGAGAACTCAGATCCCCTTCTGGAGGCTTCTACACTCACCTCTTCACTCCTCTCCGGAACTCAAAGAGCTTCTGCCCCTCTGGAATGGAAAACACCCTGATCACGGTCCCCTGCGGCCGGAGAGAACAGGCTGTTAGCGAGTAGACATGGACTGGCTTCACTCCTTCCTTCTCAGATGATAAATGAAGCACAGAACGGTCCTCCATGGGGACCCCCCTCCTGGCCGGCCCCCCTCCTGGCCAGCCCCCCCCATGCCTAAGTCCCTCCTAGCCAGCACCCCCAGGTGCCCGAGCCCCTCCTGACCAGCCGCAGCAGGCCCTCTACACAACTTCCTCCTCCTTCCTGCCACAAGCTCACCAAATGGTGAACCAGAATGCCCCGTTCACCACTTCACTCACCACTTATTCTAATGGTTAATAGCCTGAAGTCAAACATGGAATGCACCAGTTTTACCTTTTCCTCTGTCATTTGAAGCTGAAACCATTAAAACTGAACGCTTTGGGAGGCCCCTCCTAATTGATGGGCCGTGAGTTTGACATGTTGGTCTGCTGCCTCAGACCCCACTGCGGCCCTTGTTGCCACTTTCCTCCTAAAGCAGATACGACAGCACTGGGCCTGAGAGAGACCTGCCCAGGAAGGGACCCCAGAGGGCGGTGCCCGCCGGGTCTGAGAGAGACCTGCCAGGAAGGGACCCGAGAGGGTGGTACCCACCGGGGTGAGGACTCGGAGCCTGTGCCAGAGGAGCAGACGGGCCACACTGCCCGGCGTCAGAGCGGGTGAGGGATGGCCACCCCGTCAGCGGGGAGTCCGGGGTGGGAGGACCCACCGAGGCTGCAGTTCTCGGGAAGCAGGGGGTCGGACCACATGCAAACACCGTGCAGAGGCTTTGTCTCCGCAGCCTAAGCGCTCAGGTTCCTTAGACGTGTTTCCATTTCATGCCAGGCCGCTGTGCAGCCCTAACCACAAGCTGCTGCTCACAGCGGGGTGGCGGCTGAGGCAGGATTAGCTGCACCGAGGGCGGCCCGGCCCGGCCCCAGCGGGCAGGAAGGCCATCGGTGGGCTGACCTCTCCACCAGGGGTTCGTGTGAGAGCTAACCAGGGTCTGCTCTTCATGGCCCAGAAGAAGCTTTACTGGCCCAGATCAGTAAGAACTGTAAAGCAGAGCTTGGTGAGCCAAGGGGACAGGGCCTCATGGCCGGCTGTGCTCCCGCGGTGGTGCTGGGAGGCCTGTGTCCACAGCACAGGCAGCTGGGAGTCCGATCTCTGTGTCCGCCCAGCGCTGCCCCGGGAAACTGCTCGCCCTCTGAGTTCTCCCCGTGGAAGGGAAATGCACCCCTGGGTGAGGGGTCAACAAGATAATGACTGGAAGGGTCTGTGGACTCAGGGCAGGGACAGGAACAGTGGCATCGTCGCTGCAGAAATGGGGCCGAGGATCAAGAATGCAGAGCTGCAGGGAGTGGGAGCGAGCGGCTGCCTGGGGCTCACTCGGCGGCTGTCCAGGGGCGCACCGGTGACTTTGGAGGGGCGGGGCCGTGAGGCTCTCAGTGCAAAGCATCTCAGGGACCCACCCCTGCTGCCAGCACCCCAGGGCTGAACCCGGCAGTGGGCAGCTGAGGGGCAGGTGCTGCGCTCAGAGGACAGAGCGGCCAGGAGAACGAGAGGGGGCGGGGTTTTTGAGAAGAGGAACGGCAGGGAACCACACAGCCGTTCAGTGAGGGGGGAGTATGTGACAGAGGGGGGGCACACGGACGGGACTGACGAGGCCTTTTTTCCGCGAGCCGACAAGGCCAGGGCTCTTACCCAGAAACTCTTCTCACCGGCTCTCTTGCTAATCAGGGCTGTGCACACCCGCTTTCTGGGCAGGACTTACACACACTCCCATCTACAGGCTAAGCTCTGAGGAAGGGAGCGTGGCGCGCTGAGACCGGCGCCCTCGCTCAGGGAAGGTGGCCTGACCCCTCAGCCCGGGGTTCTGTGTGAAAGGTGGACGCAGAGTGGAGAAGGAGGCTGATGACACACAGTGTGACCACGGCTTTGTAAGGGAGTGAAAGGCGAACATGGAATGTGCCCGGCCCATCGCCCCCTTCCCTCGGCCCCCGTCCGCTCCCCCAGCCTGTCATGGTCCCGTCAGGCAGTGCTGAGCGTGTGCTATGCAGGTGCTTCTATCTCCTGCCCTGTGCCAGCCCCGCCGGAGCCCGCTCCCAGGCAGCACCGAGCTGCGGCGGCCAGCTGCTGGGTGTCCCGAGCTCCTCTGGGGGCTGCGGGCTGGGGACAGACGCTGCGCCGGCGCCTGGCTGTGCCGGGCTGGTCCCCACGCCCGTCCTACCTTCTCGGAAGCGGTGGCGAGCTTGGTTCCGCTGGCGTCGAAAGCCAGTGCGGCCAGAGGACTGTCGTGAGCGGGAATCATGTTGGCAGCTCTCTGGTGGGAGGGGAAGCAGACGTGACTCCCCAGCCCCTGACGTACCGGGGTGGGGGCCACGGGTGACCCACTCCTCCAGCGCCCCCGGGCAGCGCCCCCGGGGACCAGGGCAGCTCTGCGGGGGGCAGCACGGCCACTCCTGCCCCCCGCCGGCGGTGCGGGCACCAGGGCGAGCCTCACCAGGGTGATGGTGTCGAAGACCTGCACCTCTCCGATGGTGGCGCTGCCGGGGTAGGCCAGGTAGCAGTTGTCGTTGTTGATGGACAGCGCGCACAGGCCTAGGAGCAGGGGCAGAGCGGTCATGGCTGAGGGCTCCTCTGTGGCCTCGGACACACCGAGCAGCGCACTCACTTAGCCACGGGCGGGGGGAGGGCTGGGCAGGGCCTCCGCCGTGACAGCGGACTGTGAGCAGATTGAAGGCCTCTGGTGGGAAGTGATTAGTGACCTCAAAGCTGGAGGCTGACCAAACCACTGACCGGTGTGGTCACAGGACCAGCGCCAGGGGAAGGGAGGCTGGTTTAAGGTCGATACACTTCCATCTGCCTCCCTCTGCGGGCTCTGAAGGACAGTGCTCCCCCCACACCCCCCTCCCCGGCTTCAACAGGACACCCGAGAAGCCTGCCCTCCTCGGTGTGCTCACCGGCCGGGTTCGGGGGCGTCTCCCGGATGGTGTGCAGCACCTTCATGTCTCGGATGTTGTGGATGTACAGAGACTCCTCCAGGCACACGATGAGCCGCTGGAGGGGAAGAGGGAGGCGGGCGTGAAGAGCCGCTCAGCGGCTCCTGGACCACGGCGCTCTGCATTTCCCCCAGAGCACCTCTGGGCCTGGCTCTCCGGAGGGCGCCAACGTTACGGCAGCTCTGCCAGCACCACCCTCAGCTCCGGCGTCTACTGCTGCTGCCCAGGACGGCTCGCCATGCCAGTGGGTCCATGTCCCAGAAACGGCAACGTGGAAAGAAAGTGTGACTTGTTTCTGGTTTGTTTGCCTCTCAGCCCTCACCCTCTGCCCCTCATGAAAACCACACTGGGTGCTGTGGAGGCTGAACTGGGCGCGGCCAGATGAAGTGACAGCCGGGGAGTTCCGGGAAGCGTAAACATCCTCCCGCACCGGCTGTTCGGGGTCCCTGTGCCCGGTGCACCTCAACACGCTGTCCCTACAGTGGTGCGTCAGGGAAAGACCACTTGGCACGCATGCACTCAGCACCTGCTGCCCTGGGCACCCACGTGTTTTAAGCTTTAAAAAGGTTCAACAAGTCATGCCTTATAAGCTCCCATTTTAACCAGCGCTTTCAGTCACTAGACGGATCCCAAATCAGCCAGGCAGCGGTCATGTGGCAGGAGCCGCCAGCAGCGCACAGCATGGTCCACGGTCCACGGCCCTCGGCCCGCCCTGCACAGGGCCTTCCGCCGTGAACCGGAAGCCGATGCTGTGTCTGTGAGCACAGCCCCGGGAGCCCAGGAAGGAACACAAGTGCTAGCCGCCAGGCCCACACTCTTGTTTGGGGGAAGATATAAAAACAATATTTTGAGGGGTGGTTAATCTTTCCTGAGGATGATTTTCCCACTGCTTTTTCAGAGAGTGGGAAGGAGGGAGTGAGGGGGAGAGAGAAAGAAACATCAATGTGAGAGAGACATTTCGATGGGTTGGCTGCAACCCAGGTATGTGCCCTTGACCCGAATCACACCCACCACCCTCTGGTGCATGGGCCAATGCTCTAACCACTGTGAACAACTGGCCGAGGCATAAGCGTACATTATCTTAAACAAAAAGTTAAACTGAGTTTAAAAAAAGGAGGAAGAAGATGCTAACAGATTTCTTAAAGGGACACGTATAAAAGCAAAAGCAGCTGAATAAACTAGGACTCAGCTCCAATGATGGCCGTGAGGACGTCGGTCAGCCTCACTAGCTCTGCCCGCACCTGCAGGACGGGGAGGACGCCCGTTTCCCAGGTGGGAGGACAGACACAAGCGCCGTGCTCCGACAGCACCTCATTGCGGCACTGGCAGGACACCGTGAGGGCGCTAAGGCACGCATGCCGGAGGCTGAGGGTGTCCGGTGGCAGAGGGCAGGGGCGTTCACCGGGGGTGATCCGACTAACACAGAGCGCCCGTGTTGAGGCACGGTGGGGGTGAGCGAGCAGGGGCTGGGCCAGAAACACTGGCTCAGGACCGCGTCTGTCCTGGAGGCGCCGGAGGCCCCCGGGAAGCAGTGACCGCGCAGCCGCAGCCGCCCGCACCCTGACGCCGGGCAGAGCGAGCCTGGTGCCCAGCGCTGGCGCTCACCTGCCTGTTGAGCTTCACGGCCAAGATGGTGTTGGAGTAGCTGTAGTTGCAGATCTCAGTTCCTTTCTTAAAGTGGCAAACTTTTAGCTTCCGAGGAGCTTTGAGGCTGACGATGGCCACCAAGCTGCTCGAGAACAATCTCTCCACGATGCACACGTCCTCCGTGTCAGCTGTAAGCAGGAAACACACACGCACCATCAGCAGACGAACACGTGTCTAAGTGCTGACTATGTGCAGCAGAGCTGGGGGCTACACGGTGGGCGCGGCGACAGGCCGGGCTGTAGGACGGTCCCAGGGCAGCACCAGAGTCTAAGTCACCGCTTAGGAGCCACAGACACACCACTCAGGGGTCCCCCTGCCGGGAAGGCCCTGCTTTCTGCACGGAGGGCCCCTCTGCTCCAACGCTGCCCTGCAGCAGCCGCCCCGTCAAAGGGAGGCTTCCTGGCTGCTCTGCACACCACCCTGTCCCTCCTCCCGGTGGCACATCTGCCCCCCGCTGCCCCTGTACACGGTCTGGGCTGTACGCCCCATGAGGAGGGGCCGCACCTCCTGCTCACAGCTGTCCCCTGGCCTCGGTAGCGGCACTGACAGACGCCAGGCCCCTCCAAGGCTCGCACAACTCACTCTGAGTCTCGCTTTCTGTGTGTGAAGGGGGTGACTGCCACTCAGGCCTGCAGGAGGGGTGGCAGATGCCGGCCCGAGTCAGCTTCATCCCCACCCACCCCCCTGCTCCCGTGAGAGGGGACACCCACTCAAAAGACCGGTGCAACACGTGTGCAGACAGCATCCTGCCCGGAAGTGGCAGGTACAGTGGACCCTCCACAGACATCCCTTCATGCAGGTCCCCGTCTGCCCTCACCCCAATCTCTCCTTCCTGCTGTGGGAAGTTCAGATCCTGATGCAAAGAGAATTCTCGTCTCGACTGCCTCCCCCTGCAGCCTGTCTCCTGAGCTCGGGGCTGTGGTGCCAGGTTTGAGCACGTGCCCATCCATTCACTCAAGAAGGCTCCTCCGATCAATCTTTCCGTCAACGCAATCCCAGCACACATTTTTGTTGACAATAACTGCTTTCAAAATCAGAAAGGCAAAGCATCTGAAATAGCCAAGGCTCTCTGGAAAAAGAACTGGGTGGAAGGGCTTATGCCATGTGACTCCCACACGTAGTGGGTAGAGGAAGCTACAGCACCGACAGCACGCTGTGACAGACGGCGAGTCCCCTGGGAAAGAGTGAGCCGCAGAACAGACCCACACTCCCAGGGCCCTTTCAGCACCAAAGCAATCCAAAGGAAAGACACACCTTTTCAAAGGCCGAACAGGAAAAGTCAGCCTTCACACCCACCTCACACCATCCAGCAAAACAAACCGAGGGGAGCGCTACGCTGATGGAAAAGCTGAAGCTACGAAGTTCAGTGTTCAACACTGAGCGTGCTGGCCAGGCAGCAAAGCGGCTTTAACTGCCGATAGTCACACGCCACATCCCAGAGCCCTCAGAGAGCACTGAGAAGTGTCTTCACGACTGGATGGCTCGCAAAGGTTTCTCAGAAAGGACACAGCAAGCAGAGATCATAAATGAAAAAAAAAAATCAGACTTCATCAAAAGTCAACATGTTTGCCTCACAGATAAGACAAGCCACAGAACAGGGAAAAATGTTCACACGACGTTACCCGACCCAGGACTGGTACCCAGAAGGGCTAAGGAACTCTGGCCACGGGGCAGTGAAGAAAAACAACCAGACTTAGAACGGAACGAAGGATCCGAACACAAAAGCTATTCAACGGCTGGCTAGCAAGGACATGGACGTGCCGACACCATCAGGGAAATCAAGTCAGAGCCACAGCGAGAACCGCCACATACATCAGAACGGCTGCTGTGGGAAGCCAACGCCACACGTGCTGGCGAGGGCACAGCCGCCAGCCTGCACACCGCACTGCAGGGGGTGAGAACAGGGCACACAGGGAGGAAACTGGTAGTTTCTGACTAAAGGGATCCCTCGCTCTTTCCCTAGATGTTCACCTAAGGCAAATACAGCGTCCACCGAGGAGCTGCGCCGGAAGGCCCTGAGGCCGTGAAGCACAGACCCCACACAGTGCCGTAACGAGACCACCCAGGTCTGCACACGCCCCTGTGTGTGAACTCCCCCAAAGCAGACGGCCACGCCAGCCTCCAGCTAGCCAGGCTCACGTGGAAGTCATAGGGAGTCTACTGACAGCAAGAACGACTGGCCAGGTGTTTGTTCACCTAGCCCACCCAACAGCAAGCTTGAAATTTTAAAAGGAAAAAAAGAAGAAAAAAAAGCAGGTGAGAACTCCTAGAATTTTAAAAACAGAGGGTGTGTGTATGGAGGCAGCAAAGCTATTTTCCCCTATATTTTTATTGATTTCAGGGAGGGAGAGAGGGAGAGAGACAGAAGCTTCAATGATGAGAGAGCATCACCGATCGGCTGCCTCCTGCACACCCCACCCCGGGGCTCAAGCCCACAGCCTGGGCCTGGGCCTGGGCCCTGACTGGGAACTGAACCATGGCTTCCTGGTTCATAGGTCGATGCTCAACCCCTGAGCCATGCTGGCCAGGCAGCAAAGCTACTTTTAACTGCAAACAGTCATTAAAGAGAACAGTATACTGAACCCCTCCATAGGCCCATCACCTGATTTAACCAACACTCACTTTCTGCCTGTTTTTTCTTTTCTGAAGTTTCAAAGGTCATCATCCTGACCTTTACCTGTAAGTCAGTCAGGTAAGCCCCTCTAATCAGGTAAATACACCCTCCAGTCTGTGACTAGAAACGGAAGACACCTCCATCACGTGAATTCCAGGGGGAGAAGAGCTGCATGGAGAGAGCCCTAATGACCAGGAGACGGCGCAGCAGCCCGCCGGGGCCGCCCGGGTCAGGATGAGCTGTTCGGAGAGAAGACAAATGCACTCGATCGACAGAAATTCCAGACCTCAGAGACCATCAACAAGGTCAACAGCAAGCACCAAACCAGAAGAAATACTGGCAACCCACGGAAAATGGCTCAGTTGTTTTAGATCAGTAAGAGACCAATAATCCAACAGAAAAGCAGGCAAAGGAAAGAATCCCGCAGTTAAGGCAAGGAACAGCCAGCTAATGAGGCTCGGTGGCTGCCTGTCTGCCCAGGAACCGGGAGGTCACGGTTGATTCACAGACAGGGCACAATCCCCAGTAGAGAACATGCAGGAGGTGGCCCATCGATGTTTCTCTCACTGACATTTCTCTACCCCTCTCCCTTCCTCTCTCTAAAATCAATAAAAACAAATTAAAAAAAAAAAAGGCAACAAGCATATTTCTTATCTTAGACTCGTCTCCCAAGTATTAAAATGTTTGGTAATGCCTGTGCGGCAGGAAAGAGGAGGAAGGTGCTCGCACCATTAATAAAAGCATGGTCCTGCCCCTTTTAAGGACAACTTTGCATATCTACCGACTGTAAAGTGTCTCTGTTGGTTTCCCTAACAGCTGTTCTCACAAGCAGGCAAAACAAAGATGCTCGCCCAGCAATTCCACTCCCCTGGCATCTGTCTATCTACTTGGAAGAGATGAATCCCTGGCCGGTGTGGCTCAGTTGGTTGAGCGTCGCCCTGTGTACCAAAAGGTCATGCCCAGGTTGCAGCAGGCAATCAATATTTCTTCCTCCCCTCTCCCTTCCCCTCTTTAAAATCAACAAAAACATGATATATTTTTAAATAGAAGTGAAAACACACATCCACCCAACAACTTGTGCCCAAACGTTCACAGCAGCATTCTTTAAGTCACCACCCAATGCCCATCAGCAAAACATGGTCTAGCCACACAACGCGCTGTTCCTGAGTAAAAAGAAACGGAGTGCTGGCACATGCTCCAACACGGGAACCCTGCAAACACCAAGTACCAGGAGCCAGGCGGGCAGGGCTCCATTTATCTGCCGTGTCCAGAGCCGCCAATCTCCAGAGGCAGAGGCAGACCTGCGCTTGCCCAGGGGTGAGGCGGCGGAGGGCAATGGGGAGTGACGCTGATGGGCTCAGGTTTCATTTGAGGAATGATAAAAATGCTTTACATTAGGTTATGAAGCAGTACCACTTAGCAAATACACTAAAACCCACCGAACTGTACACTTAAAACTGGTGATTCTGGTAGCATATAAATGACATTTCTCTCCATCCCTCTCCCTTCCTCTCTAAAATCAACAAAAACGTATTTTTAAAAGAGGCAACAAACATATTTCTTATCTTAGACTCAACTGTTAAAAACACACACAGGCAGACTACTGCAGACATTTGAATTCTGGCCAATTAACTAAGATCGGATGTAAGCACGGGGAGGCAGGGCTGGGGAGGATGAGCGATAGGGACAGAGTGAGAGGCGAGGGGTCAGGACGGGAATCACCAGGTCTCCTCAGAGACCAGAGGCCTGGGTCCTAGGACACTTGCCTTCCAGAGGGTTCTTCAGGGCCAAATCACACCCCCAACACTGGGCTTCCTGGGAAACACCTGAGTGTCATCAAACTCCAGGAGCCAGACAAAGGCCACCCATTCCTGTCACTCAGGGAGAACCAGACAAAAGGGTCCCTGCCAGGCCCCAGCCCAGGGCTGGCGCTGGGTCTGCTCAGGGGCGTGCCTGAGAACAGCCTCCCTTCCCGCAGGGGGCAGGCCCAGGCTCACTGCCTTTCCGGGCACTTCGCTCTCCCCATCTCCTTACACCCAACTCCTGGGAATCTGTTGTCAGTCCTCACCCAAGGAGTGAAGACAGTTTTTCCAGTGACTTTTTATTTTTTTAAACGGGGAGTAGAAGGGAGGAGAGTGAGAGGGACAAAGAGGAGGGAGAGGAAGAGAAAAAGAGAGAAACACAATGATCCGTTGCCTCCCCGTATGCCCTGACCATGTCAGGGGAACAAACCCACAACCCAAGTACATGCTCTCGACCAAAAATCAAACCCGACTCTCTGGTATGCTGGGGTATGCTCTAACCACTGAGCGATGCCAGCCAGGGCCCAGGGAATTTTTAAACCCTCACTCGAAGATATGTTTTCACTGATTCTAGAAAGAGAGGAAAGAAGAGAAAAAGAAACATTGATTGGTTGCCTCACACACACCCTGACCAAGGATCAAACCCACAGCCCTTCAGTTCAAATGATGGTCTAACCCTGAGTCACACTGGCCAAGGGCCCAGGGAACTTTTTTTTTTTAACACACATTTTTATTGATTCCAGAGAGGAAGGGATAGGAAGAGAGAGACAGAGACAGAAACATCCATGATGAGAATCACCGATGGGCTACCTCCTGCAGCCCCACTTGGGGACCGAGCTCCGAGCGTGCGCCCTGACTGGGAATTAAACCGTGACCTCCTGGTTCCCAGGTTGGTACTGAACCCCCAAGCCACACCATCTGGGATCCAGGAACACTTCACACACGAGCACACACAGACCCACGTACCCAGCAGTCACTCCCTGCCGGGGGAAGCGCAGGTGCGTGAGGCACCAGGCTGGAGACCGAGGGTGCGGCAATCACACGGGAAGAAGAGAAGCAAGGCTGACATTGCAGTCACAGAAGATGGCCCGTTACCAGGTCACAGAGCCAGTCAGCACGCCGGCTGCCGGGGCCGCGGCCGGGAGACCCCAGCTTCCATTACAGCCCAGTTAAGCAGAGGCTGCTGGACTTTCCCCTGCACGACCGTTACTGTAAGTCCCACTGAAACGTGCCGACAGGCACGGCCTGTCACTCAGCGACAGAAAGCACCTCTCAGACCCCAATGAGGACGAGGCCTGTGAAGGCAGCGACGGCTCCCTGCGTGATAAAAGGCGCATGTGTCTCCGGAGGCATTTCCTTCTGTATTTTAATATATTCTTATTGATTTCAGGGAGGAAGGGAGAGGGAGAGAGAGAAACATCAATGAGAAGAGAATCACTGATCGGTTGCCTCATACAGACCCCACACTGAGGATCGAGCCCGCAACCCGAGCATGTGATCCCCTGACTGGAACTGACCCTAAGGCCTGGCTCACAGGTGGACACTCAACCACTGAGCCACCCGGCCGGGCGGAAGCGTTCTGATCTGGGAAGCAGGCGCTGGTCACTCTGGCGGAGGCAAGGACCAGCCTGCTCCTATTAACTCCGAGCCGCTGCTTCCTGAGGGATGGTTCCCAGCTCAGCACCTTAGAAAATAAAGGCAAGGACATTCTGCCTAACAGGTAGGACTTCAGTGCAGTCTTCCATGGAAAGGATTCCACAGATTTGCATATTATTTACCTTCTCACTAACAACGTAAAAAGGAATATAAACGGGCACCCACAGCAAAGCATAAGTGGGAGTCCTCCCAACTCCCCTTAAGTTTGAAATCACAACAATACAGATGGATAAAACAACACAACCTCCGGCTGCAGCGGGCAAAGGCTTCCTTCCCCCATTAAACAAAGACCGGCAGCCGGCAGTCTGCTCTCCCCGGCCCGGCCCTGGCTCGCGCTTAGGGAACAGCCAAGGGGCTGAGAGCAGACCTGACGCCTGTGCTGGTCAGGAGTTGGGAGGGTGAGCCAGTACTGAGCCAAGGCTGGATTCTGAGGCCTCAAATCCTCTTCTTTGCTGAGTCTGTGTAGAAAATTGCCAGAAAGCAATCTTGGCTCAGCAGCTAATGTTTCCTAAGGGACACTCTTCTCTCTAACTCAATGCGAGTGTGAAAGGGGAAGGCGGATGCAGTTCTGGGAGGAAGGAACTTAACAGTGAATGTGAACTTAACAAATAGGAACCCTCCAGCCCTGGCTGGCGTGGCTCAGTTGGTTGAGCTTCATCCCACGCACTGGAAGGTCGTGGTTCCATTCCCTGCCAGGGCACACGTCTGGGTTTTGGGTTTCATTCTCAAGTCGGGTGTGTACGGGAGATAACTGATGGATGTTTCTCTCTCTCCTTCTTCCTTCCCCTTTCTCCAAAATCAATAAAAAAAAAAAAAAAGTCAAAAAAAAATAAAGTATTTACCCCCAAAAAGTTCTCCATCCATTTCACCACCTAGATTTTAAAGGCCAAAGATCACCAAGAAGAACAAAGAAATCACCGTGTCAGTCGGCAATCACACACTCTCTGAACAATGCTATCAAGATAACACATTTTGTTCCACCAAAAACCACTGAGAAACGAAGTGCCAGAAACCAGGGAATAAGCTTCCCGAGGACACACTGGTTACTGAACGGACTCCGTGGAGGAAACGGGAAGCTCAGGCATTCTCACAAGCACTGGTCTCCACACGGGGAAACTGTGCGTCTCAGAGCAGAGGACCAGTCACCACAGCAACCATGTATTAGCGGCACCACCCAGGCCACGGTTCGTGTTAGCTTCAGTAACTGCTCAGTCACTGGAACCTCTGTCCGGAGACCAGCCGCCCTTCTGGAAATCCCTCCTGGGAGCGATCCTGTGTGGGTCTCGTGAGGCAGCCAGTGGGGGTTTCGGAAACACGAACACCCACTTGAGATGAGCGAGCGCACCAGCTCGCAGCTACCGGATGGGCCCCCAGAGCACATGTCCGCTGCCCAGCGGGAATAGGAGCTGGGAGCGCAGGGCAGGCCGAGGGCAGAACCAACCAGCTGCGCTGCCAGGCGGAATGGCGTCAGGAGCTGACTGACGGCGAGGCTGCGGCCCCCTTCCTGGCGGGCCAGACTCCGCCTTCTCCGGGGTCCTCACCTCCCGCTATGGCCAGTGTGTCGTGTCTGCTGGCCTTTGTGTCCCCGCCTGCCTGCACAGAAACGCGCTTGGTTTTGCTTCCTCCGTTTAAATGTAAGTGTCAGGAGAGCAGAACTCACTACCGCGGTCTCCACCAGCACACCGGCCGGCGGGCAGCAGGTCCTCAGTAATGTTTGCCCAGTGGATGGAACCAGAACAAATACGAGGTGTTTGGCCCTGAGGCCAGAGGTGAAGTAACCCTTCCAAAGTCACACAGTGACGAGCAAGCAGTCAGTCCTGCCCCTTCACAATCCAGCTGGCCTCACACAGGCCGGCTTCGCAGATCCCAGGAAACGGCAGCCGGAGAAAACGATTCATTCCTACGCTGTGAACTTTCACCCCCGGAGCCTGCCTGGCAGAAACCTGAGCGTGTGAATGGCGTGAAAAACGGGGGATTACAGAGTAATATACATAGTGTGACGCCATGTCATACTGGGAAAAACCAACTGGTAAATCAGATATGGACATGTATGGACATGTATAATATAAGTATACATATACACAGAAAAGATCTGGGAGGACACACGCAACTGTTCCCAGCAGCCACTGCGCGGTGGACTGAGGGGGAAGAAGAGAATGGTCAGGGCACCTGGACGTGAGTCAGTGTCTGATTTAAGAATGCATATCAATTCCCGTTAAATGTGTCTATATGGTTTAAGAGGGGGAAAATAAAGCAAACACTTACTGCATTCATAGATCTGTTCCAGCTTATCCACAGAAGAAAGGGAGAAAAATTTATAACCGGACTTACTACCAACAGCTAGGGACCTGCAAAAAAGCCAAACGCAGAAATAAGAGCTGATACTGTAGACAGACAATGCACACTGCTCCATGCCACAGCGCCACCTCTCCCAGTTAGCCCCAGCTTCCGTGTGGTTGTACCCGGTGAGTGGTGGCTGAGCAGAAAGGGCGGGCAAAGGAAGTTGACAAGCCCCACAACTAGAACAAGGTGAGGATCAATGACATATAGTTCCCTTATTTAAAACTTAAACTATACGTGTGACATGAATTACACCCTGAGTTAATGATCCCCTAAAACAAAGCTCGGGCGCACACTCCGTCCACAGCGCTTACAGCCTGTGCGGACAGGGCCTCTGCGCTGCAGGGCAGACTGGCCAATGCAGTCCAACCACGTGTGGCCGGGCGGTGGGAGGCAATAAAGCGGACCCCAAAGCTGACTGAGGATCCGAGTGGTGAGACTGCACAGCCGGCCTGCAAGGACGCAGCGAGGCTCTGCTGCTTCTGCCACGAGGTCGGCGGGGCCTCGGGCGCTCCAGACCCTCCCCAGCAGAGCTGACCCCACCGAAGGGGCCCTCTGCAGACCCCTGCCTCCAGGACGGGACTGACCCGGGAAGAAAGACGAAAGCACAGCCTCCAGAAAGAGGGGAGGAAAGCAGGAAGCGGTGGGCATGCAAAAAACCGGTGCGGGGACCGGTGTCCTCAGGGCTGGGAGGACACGAAGGCGGAGGCGAGGCGGAAGGGAAGCCAGAGCCCAGGAAGAGTGAAGACAGACACTTGGTGCTACAAGGGTTCCAGCTATTTCTAAAACCCAGACTCCCACCTCTCTCCACATAAATCTACAGCTGCCCCTGAACAGTGTGGGGTTAGGGGCGCCCACCCTGCACAGTAACGATGCTTATAGCCTCTGACTCCCCCAAAACTCAGCCGCCCCTCGGAATGGGGGTGAGGGAACCGGTTCCAGGAACCACATGGATCCACATCCACAGCGGCCCAAGTCCCTTACAGAAAGTGGGCAGAAGCCACGAGTCCAGATGCTGCGACCTGCAAGGAGCCCAGGGAGAGGGGGCTGCTGCTCCCTCTGGGGAAGCCTGTGCTGCTCAAGGACCCTGTGGCCCAGGAACAGAGCTCTCAGCGCTTACCCTTTAGGATCAACTGGTTTATCTCAGAAACAGAAACAAACTTGCTTCAGCTCACATCCTTTTTCTTTGTGAAAAGTTCACACCGTGAATTAATTATATCACCAAAGTGTTACCTGTAAATATTTTGACAGTAATAAAGAAACCAACACAAACACCAGAATAACCAAGGCTAAAAAGAAAATCTCAGTGCCCGTGACTTCCTTTCCCAGTTAACTAAGGGTGTCAGCGCAGCACCAAAACCTGCCCCCATCATTTCTGATTTGTCATTTTTATATTATCACTAGAGGGCTGGGCCATGAAAATCACGCCCTGGGGAGAGGGGGGCGTCCCTCAGCCTGGCCTGTGCCCTCAGTCCAGGAGCCCTTGGGGATGTCTGACTGACAGCTTAGGCCCACTCCCTGCAGACGTGCTTAGCACTGCTGCGTAGGCCGGGAGGCTCCCGCCACTGCCGCTGTAGCTTCCGGCTGAGTGGCACTCCCTGTGGGAGCGCACTGACCACCAGGGGCAGCCCGTGTTGAGCATTCACACCCGGGTGGTCAGTGCGCATCGTAGTGACCAGTTCTGCTGTTTGGTTGATTCGCACATTAGCCTTTTATTATATACAATTTCCCTTGTGACCCTGCACCAACAGCCCCTTCCCTTTCTAATTTCTTACTGACTTAGAGACCAAGTCACCAAGCTCATTAATATTATAGATGAAATAAGCCTCTTCATGGACAAATGATGAGCTGGAATTCGTTAATAAGAGCCTGGCTCTTGATCTATCAGATGCTCTCCAAGCAGGCAGGATTCGACACTGCGCTCTGCTGATGAACATCAGAACTGGGGCGTCCTTCCAAATATTCTGAAACCGATTGAAGGCATTAAATTCGTAGCTAGAATGATAACCACGTGGTCTACCAAGCAACGGTGCGCTGCAGTCAGTAAGAAATATAGACAGAAATATTCCGATTATTCCTTGATATGTGTATACGGTATGAGTGTATATTTTCTCAACAAAGGCAGACAGTTTTAAATGGTGATGCTAAGTATTTTCAGCTCCTATACCAACAGTTAAAAACGTTCACACACCCATTTGGAGATTCTGCTTTGTAACCCCTCAGGACTCTCCTGACCATACAATGGCATATTAATGCGAGAGGAACAGTGACAGGAAGTCTGAGATTCCCCCAACAGATAATCTTACTCCCAATGATGTGCATGTGGTAAGTTTGTTTAAGGTAACACAATGAATACCTTCTACTGACCAAGGGGAGGCTAGCAAACCTTACCAGAAAAAAGGATCCATTTGCTTAACACCCCACCCCCATTCACTACTGCCCTCCTGCCTTCAGCTGCCCCGTGTCAAAACTCAGAGGCACGTTGCCCTCTGGGGAGGCCCTGGGGAGAGTGGCTGCTCCTGAGGTGCAGTCGGAGCCGATCCCTGCATGGCACCCTCACTCCACTCCAGAAGCTCCCTCCGCGCCAGCCCGCGCTGAGGGCCCTGCGGTGCAGACGAGGCGGGTCCTCTGCCTTCTCCTCCAGCATTTAAGGGCCTCGCCCTGGCCACTTGCTACTTTCCAGAATTTTGTTGCCGTGTCTCCTTTCTCATTCTCCCCATCCTACAGGGTTAAATCCTTTGAAAGTATCTTTCTGAGCCTGACAGGTGACTCGGTTGGTTGAGCATTATCCTGTGCACCAAAAGGTTGTGGGTTTGATTCACGGTCCGGGTGTGATCTGTGTCGCACATTGATGTTTCTCCTCCCCCCCCTTCCCCCCGACTCACTCCTTTCTCTTCAGAATCAATGAAAGTATCCTCAGGTGAGGATTTAAAAAAAATCCTATAAACATCTTCTTGATACTTTATTGATTGACAATTTATTAGTGTTTTGGGAGGGAGCCAAAATAAATGCTTGTCTTTGGTCCACCATCTTTTTCTGCAAGTCTGTCACTGCACTTAAACTTGAGTATTCAATATCAAAAAGAGTGACTTGCACTAAAAAATGAAAATTGTATATTTTTTTAAGTTAAATTTAACAAATCCTATTGTTCAGATTATTACAACTGTTTCTCTCTCCTACCCCCATAGTTCTCCTCCACCCAGCTCCCACTCCACCCTCTTCCCTGACCTCCCCCGCACTGTCCTCATCCACAGGTGTACGAGCCTCTTCCCCCCTGAGAATTATCAATACACTCCCATTCTATGCCCCTGATTCTATTATATTCACCAGTTTATTGTTCCTCAGATTTTTAATTCACTTGATTTTTAGATTCACTTGTTGATATGTATGTTGTTCATAATTTTTATCTTTACTTTTTCTTCTTCTTCCTCTTCTGAAAGAACACCTTTTAGCATTTCATATACTACTGGTTTGATGGTGATGAACTCCTTTAGCTTTTTCTTATCTGTGAAGCTCTTAATCTGACTTTTAATTCTAAATAACTTTGCTGGGTAGAGTAATTTTGGTGATAGGTTCTTGCTATTCATCACTTTGAATATGTCTTGCCACTCCTATCTGGCCTGCATGGTTTCTTTGAGAAATCAGCTGACAATCACATGTGTGCTCCCTTGTAGGTAATTAACTGTTTTTCTCTTGCTGCTTTTAATATTGTCTTTTGCTCTTGGCATTTTAATTAGGATGTGTCTTTGTGTGGTGCTCTTTGGATTCCTTTTGTTTGGGGTTCTGTGTGCTTCCTGGACTTGTAAGTCTATTTCTTTCACCAGGTGGGGAAATTTTCAGTCATTAATTCTTCAAATAATGGGTTTTCAGTATCTTGCTCTTTCTTCTGGCACTCCCATAATTCAGATGTTGGTACACTTGAAGTTGTTCCAGAGGCTTCTTACACTATCTTCAAATTTTTGGATTTTTTTTTTTTTTTTTTTTTTTTTTTTGCTTTTCCAGTTGAGTGTTTTTTGTCTCATTGTATTTCAAATCTTTGACTTGATTCTGGCATTCTTCTAGTCTGCTGCTGGGTCTCATTTTTTATTTCCATCAGTTTATGTTTAATTTCAAGTTGGTCCTTTTTCATATCCTCAAAAGGTCTCATTAAATTTATCAGCCTTTTCTAGGAAATTCTTGAAAAACCTTATAACTGTGGTTTTGAACTCTATGTCCAGTCGTTTGTTCTCCATTTCTTTCGTTTGTGATTTGTTTCCTTGTCTCCTCATTTTTCACTGCTTCCCTTAGTAGGGTGGCTTTGTGTGCTGGGTGTCCCATATGGTCCAATGGGTCAGCCTCCCAGTTACCTGAGGTGGACACTTTGGTGCACCCCTTTGTGGACTGTGTATACAGCCTTGTTATAGTTAAGTGTCACTGGGAGGAACTGACCTCCAAGCCAATTGGCTGTGAGGACCAGCTGTGCCTATAATGGGAGAACTGCTGTGCTGGAGACACGTTTATGGGAGAGGACTTGTTCCCATAGGGCTTTGGTGCTCACTGAGTCTGCCTCTTGAATGTGTCCCTTATGAGTAGTTGAAATCTGGTGTCATCTCACACAGACCATTAGATACACTAGTTTCTGGATCTCCAATGGGGTGCAGGTCAGCCACTGTCCGAGGCCACCCAGCGGGAACTACAGCAAGAACTAGTTTTCTTCTCTTTGCTTGGGGTTTGGAGGTTTTAGAGCTGTCTGACTGGAGCTGCAGTTAGTTTGGTTAAGCTGCCACAGGGCAGGCCATTTATGTGCAAAAGCCGCTGCACGGAGCTTGGGTGTATTTGTAGATAGTGCGGAACAGAGTCTTAGGGTGTCAGTAGACTAGGGGGTGGCAAACAGCGATGGCTGCCAGTCAGCATTCTCTGTGTTTCTGCGTTTCCAAGTTCCTGTGTCCCATGCTCCATCGCAGTGAACAATGATTGCTGGGCGCATCTCTGCAAGAAAGCCACCCTCACTTTCCGACCCAATGGCTGACAGTCCAGCTTCTCCCCATAGGAGTCTGGGTCCCCCACGTCTCCCTAGAAACTGGAGTTCAGAGTAACTGGGAGCTTGTCTCCTTTGGGTTGGAAAAAAGCAGCACGCCCAGTTGCCCGCCACCAGCCCAATTCACACACCTCCGTACCTCAGCACTTATACACATCTCAATGCTTTTTTCTCTTTCCTTCTAGCTTTTTTCTCTTTCCTTCTACACTTCCACTCAGCCAGCTTTCCCGTGGTTCTGGGTGATAGACATTTTGTCTTTTAGTTGTAGTTTTGAAATTGTTGCACGAGGCAGCAATTTAGGTGTTTACCTATGCCGCCATCTTGGTTTCTCCCCCATTTCTTTTTCTTACCTCCTTTTTCTTTTCTCTACCCTCTCCAAGTGATCAGTCTGAAGAGGCTTTCCTTCCCATTACCTTCCTTGTCAGAGAGATTAGAGAGCACAGTGTTAAAGAGGAAAGTGCCACACCCATGAAGAGGCATCCACCGGGTGGGCCTACACACTATTCACTAAGTTGATCGCCACATAGGCTCTTGTCTCCGGCTCAGCCACTCCCATCACAGACCTCCAGCGGGATTGCCAGAGCAGAGTTCCCCCTAAACGGACTCCTTCCGTGATCCTTCTTCCATAATGTCATTTATCACTGTTCCTCAAAACCCAGCCAGAGATTGGGGTAACCTTCACTCTCCCTTCAACACATCACATGTTCAGCAGGTCGCACCATGTCCTGACAGCTAGGCAGTCCCTTTTGCCCGGCCTCCTCACACACTCCCCCGCAGCGGGCAAAATGAGCTCTATCTTTAAGATGGAAAGCCCTTAAAATTCACCTGCTCCTTAGCCCATCAACTCACTGGTGAGGAAAAGGAGGCCAGAAGTGACCTACTCAGAGTGATACCTGTAACCTAGAGAAGCCCTGGCTGAAGAAAGCAATAAATTCTAACAAGAGCCCCTATCATCTCTATACCTTAACTTTTCCAAATGTGCACGTCACTTGTATAAACTGAAGACTTGGAAAATCAAGTTCCTCTCTTTGTCACATCCCAATTAGAAATGTAGCGGAATCACTTCCCACAGACCAGTGGTACCCCCTGGAGGAGTTCCATCTTTGATATTTTCATTTGAGATTCAGCTGATATCTGCCCCCTATTAGTTTGTTACCTTCCCTTTCAAAAAGCCAAAAACTCCTCCAACATAAGTCTTCCACAGTGTTACTTTCAGAATCTAGGACCAGAACTAACCACGTAAGGTCAAAAAGATGGGGATCATCTGCTGTTGGGTTTGTCTCTGGTCTACTTAAAAACAAAAGGCAAAAAAATAAATAAAACTTTTGATACTTTTAGGATAAGAGTCACAGGGGGAAACCCACAACACTGAGACCATTATCAGCAGGACAGGAGAGGCAGCAGTGGGGTGTGAGGCGTGCTCTGTTAGGTGTCATTGTGTCACCTACACGTCTCCTATGAAGTGGCTTCCAGACTTTCTCACTAAGTACAGTGAATGGGGGTCCCAGACCCATGTTCTTCATCTTGTGAGAAGCTGTGTTCCTCTGTTAAAACAATTCTGGAAACGGGCAGGGGAGGGAACGCTGTAAACTGTAAGGCTGTTCCTCAGGGACGTCTGAATTTCTTCCAGGTATAGATTTTAAAACAAATCAGTCACTTCGATCAACAGACGTTTTGTATAATCCTAACTCGCTATCCCTTATGACTTATGTTCATAATCCATCAAGGCCTCCTTGGCTAGTAACAATCATAACACAGAAATCTTCTCTCGTACTAATAACTTAGGACGCCCAGAAGGCGGGAAAGCACCCGATTTCTAGCTGTGAAAGAGTGCAGACAGAGGACACTCTTCTATCTTATAGGGAATTTGGCGCCCATTTGAGACGACAGCAAAGAGAATGCTTGGTCACATTTTACTTCCTTTCAATATAAATGATGCGGAGAAGTGAAAGGATGATAGGAAATGTTCTGCAAATTCTCTAATTTATACAAGACATAAACCCCCCCCCCAATCTACCACTCTTATTTTAATTTTTTTACTGGTCTCAGGATGCTAAGGGCTTAAAAAGCAAATCACAGTTAGTTTGAAATGTCCTGTTCCCTACCTTGATACCATAGCTTTTCCGAATGGTTGCCAAACGGCAGCTCTGTGGCCCCTTGAGTTTTTAGCAAAGGCCAGCTTAGGAGCACCCTAATTAAGTTAATAACAATGTACCTACCTATACAGTTTAAGTTTAAAAAATTTGGCTCTGGCCAAAACCGGTTTGGCCCAGTGGATAGAGCGTCGGTCTGCAGACTGAAAGGTCCCGGGTTCGATTCCGGTCAAGGGCACGTACCTTGGTTGCAGGCACATCCCCAGTAGGAGGTGTGCAAGAGGCAGCTGGTCGATGTATCTCTCTCATTGACGTTTCTAACTCTCTATCCCTCTCAATTCCTCTCTGTGTAAATCAATAAAATATATTTTAAGAAAAAAAAATTTGGCTCTCCAAGGAAATTCCAGTCGTTGTACTGTTGATATCTGGCTCTGTGGACTAATGAGTTTGCCGACCAGGGGCCTATCCCAAATACAACCACATGCAACAAGTTGTCCAAATTTTCCAATTGCTTCTGCTGTCCTGGATTTTGGTCACACAGGCCACTGTAGTATTTGGCTGCTTTGATCTTTAAAGGTTGCAACAGTCTGACTTCTAAACTCACTCCCCTCAGAATCCGACTCTGCGGTGTGGTCCAGTGGAAAGAACATGATGGAGAATTCTGGAAACGGATGTCAGTCCTGGCCCTGCTGCACCACTAGCCAATCCTAAGACCCAGGAGCCTTTCTGCACGTGGGTTTCCTCACCTGTGGTTGGAGCAGTCACCTGCTCCCTCCCACCCTCCATGCAGCCCGGGTCTGCGACTGTCTGCATTCCAGTCACAACCCGGGGACCAGGGGACCTGCCTGCCACCGCCCTGGGCCTGGCCCTTCTCCAACCAAGTTGTTCCGCCCACCCCCCCCCGCCCCCATTTATTTAATGGCTCTTTAAGCTCAATGTATGGGGTGATATGGGCCAATAAGATCAGAGGTTTCAAGTGTATGTCCCTATGACACCTGACCTGTATGTCGCAGTGCGGGCCCACCACCCAAAGTCAAGTCACCTTCCGTCACCTATTTGGCCTACCATCAAGCTTTAATTAAAAAAAAAAAAAAAAAAAAAAAGCACCCTCTTTTTCTACTTTGGGGATCGCACTCAACCAGTGACACCTCAACCAACTACCCACTGGAAAGCCAGTGACCCACTCCTCCTCTTACATCACTTCCTCTTACTCACGCCCCAGGATGGCTCTCCTGCCGGCGCCCCGCAACTCATCCTTCCTGCTCCCCGGCCGCATCTGGTGCCATCCCACCGCCGGGTCCGCCAGGCGGCACGGCTCCGACCCCGTGGGGTGGCATCGGGCCTCTTCCCCTGGGCGCGGCTGGGGCTCCCCGGTGTCCCCCCCCCCCCCCGGGCTCAGTGTCTCCCCGGCCCGAGGCCAGGATTATTGGATTATTGCTAAGTTTGTTTCTTGCCCGGGGAGGACATCAAAGTTTCCTGCCAGAAAGAACAGCGAGAGTAGAGAGGAGGAAAGGAGAGCGGGGAGAGGGGCCCCAGGAGGGCGAGGGGACAGGAGAAGGGCCTGCAAGGGGGAGCGGGCGGGAAGGGGCTGCCGCGGCGTGGGAGCCACCCCGCTCCCACCGGGGCGGAGCCGGCGAGACAACAGGTCAGGCCACAAAGTTCGGCCCAACTTTGGGAGAAATGGGGTCCGCCGAGAGGAAGCCTCCAGCCGGGGGGAGCAACACCTCCGTGTGCCCGTCCCTCTCCCCGCCCGCGACGCCCCAGCCACTCCAGGGACCGGCCTGGGCTCCCGCCCCGGCCCCCCGACTCCGGCCCTCCGACCCCGGCCCGGCCCCTGACCCCCCGCCCCGGCCTCGGCCCCCCGACTCCGGCCCCTCCGGCCCCGGCCCCTCCAACCCCGGCCCGGCCCTCCGACCCCGGCCCGGCCCCTGACCCCCCGGCCCCGGCCCCCGCCCTCCGCCCCCGGCCCGGCCCCGGGCCCCCGGCCCCCGCCCCGGCCCGGCCTTACGTGACGTCCTGGTTGAAGTTGGCGAAGAGCAGCTGGTCAGCGCCGGCCTCGCCGCTCTGACTGGCCAGGTTCATGGTGGGCGCGCGGCGGGCGGGGGTCCCGGCCGGAGGCTCGCGCGCGGGCGGGGGTGGCGTGCACTCAGGCTCGGCGCCGGGCCCCGCTCGCCGCCGGAGTCGCCGCTGTCCGCCGCCCCGGGATCAATCGCCGCCTCATCCCTCCCCGCTCTTGTTTATGCTCCGGGGCCGGGGCGCTCTGCGCGCGTGCGCGGCCCGCCCCTTCGGCGCACGGGCCTCTCACGGCGCAGGCGTGCGGCGGAGGTCCCGCCCCTTCACCTCTGGCCCGGGTTAAGGTTCCGGTCAAACACGCGCAAGCGTGGGGACGCACAGGGGCGCGCTGGGCGGGGCTTGAGGGGGAGGGGGGCGCCTCGAGCGCCGCGCATGCGCTTGGGGGAGAGTAAGCGCTAGGTACACCCCCATGGCTTTTTTTAATATTAAAAGACCCGCCATGTGTCAATCATCGTGTGGACATTCCCGGACTTCATTTTGAAAAGCCCCTCAATTGTTTTCTGCTCATCAGAATCTTATTATTCCATCCAGGTTATTATTATTCCACCCTTTCTCTCTGCCTTCTACAAAGGAAGACACCAAACTAGCTCTCAGGTAGCTATACCAGTTTCTTTTTCTTTTTTCTTTTTTTAAAATATATTTTATTGATTTTTTTACAGAGAGGAAGAGAGAGGGATGAGAGAGAAACATCAACCAGCTGCCTCCTGCACACCCCCCGCTGGGGATGTGCCCGCAACCAAGGTACATGCCCTTGACCGGAATCGAACCCGGGACCCTTCAGTTCGCAGGCCAATGCTCTATCCACTGAGCCAAACCGGTTTCGGCTCTTTTTTTCTTTTCCCTTTTTTTTCTTTTCTTTCTTTCTTTCTTTTTTTAAGACTGAACTCACAACTGGGACCAGCCTTTTATTTATTTAATTTTAACATTTTTATTTATTTATTTTTATTTAGATGCACAAGTTTCAATTTACCAGGAGTATGACTCTGTTCCTTGGAGTAATAGAGGGTCCTTGGGGAACTAGAATCTCAAATTCAACCAATCTTTTAATGGGATTATTAGGTCTAATATGTGTTAACGGAAAAGAAAAAAAAAAACCACACATTGAAACCTGTAAAAAATTTTTGTGAGTTTATTTTACCCAAACTGTGGACATAAGCCGGGAAGCAGAACCTCAATGGATTGAGATAATGCTCTAAAGAATGGCGGGTTATGTTTCTGTTTATACATTGCCATCAAAGGAGGGACATAGGTGGGTTACATGAAATTCATTAGTGATGGGTTAAGGAGGCGGGGAGAAAGCAAAGGGGTGGGAAACCTGGAACCCCCCCCATTGGATAAAAAGTTAAATGATGGACGCCCATACTTAAGTGAGGGCAGGAACAATTAACATGATAACGAAGGAATTTGAGGCATTTGTCCTGGCAACCACCACGTTTGGTTGTGCCCCAGGGGTTCCAGAAAAAGGGAAGTTATAAGTTAACCTGACATCTCACAGATATGTTATCTTAGAGGCTAAAAGGCAAATGGGCTTGGTAAAGATCTAAGTTGATCTTTGGGAAAATATCAGTCTAGGACGTGACTACCCATTATAACCTATATGTAGTTTAAAATTTTAATTTCCAAACCATCTTTTGTGGTTATTGTAGGTCTCTGAGTTTGCAGGACTGCCACGCAGGCCTCCCCTGAGCTTGTCAGATCAGCATGTGGCTCCTTTCGTTCACACATGCAAGGAAACACCACCATCCCTAGGTGGCAGGCACGTGCAGTCTATTGCAGAATGACACCCCCACCTCACGGGGTGTGCTGTGTTCCCTGGAGCCACGATGAGTCTTTGGTAGGCCATCCTACCATCCATCTGAGTCACAGGGTACATGAGGAGGTGAATTCTGATACATCCTCCCTTCCCCCAACCTGTGGCCCGGACATTCCTGAGCACCTAACCAAGCACCTCGTATGCACTGTATAATCAGCACCTGCCAAATTCCCTAAGCCCCGATTCCTAAGTCCCCAAGTGCCTAATCATGTGCCTTACATGAATCCTCTGATCAGCGCGTGCCGAGTACCCAAGCCCCATCCCTTCCCGTCCTCCCCTCAAAAGGCGCCTCCACCCTGCACATGTGCTCTCTCCCTTTGGGAGGCAGCCTGGCAGGTCCTTCTCCTCTAATAAGGCCTGTCGTCCTGGTCTCCGGCCCTCTGTCTAATCTTTCAAACCCCAAGGGCATGAGCCCATGGCCAGACTTCCTTCACCAGCACGTCAATGTCTTGGTTCGAAGAGAATTGGCACAGACTCCTGGATCCCTCATTAAAAATGGCAAGCTGCCCGCAGTCTCACATCCCCGGCCCCCTCCCCGCTCTGCTTATCACCTCCCCAGAGACCACAGTGCCCTCCCTCTCACGCCCTGCCCCCTGGGCCTAGAATAAGGGGAACTGAAGCACTGAGCTCCCGCCTCTGCCCTCGGCGGTGGGATGGGCCGGGCCAGAGGGCTGCTGCCCGCGCTCAGATTTTGTTTTACGGCTTTATTCTCTGGGTTTCATTGGGAAGCTTGGACAAGTGCTGTCGGAGAGCATGCTGGATTTGTGCCAGCCAGCTGGACCTGTGTGTGTGACTCACGAATGACCCTTGCCCCAGCTCACCTTGAGGACATTCGGCTGAGCTCAGTTCCTGCCGGCCTGTGGAGGGTGGAAGGATGCTCAGGAGCCTCTGTCATCACATCCGGATTCCCCAGGTGCCTGGCCGGGTGCCAACCCCAGAGAAAGGCGGTGCCTCCCTCCTGCTGCCGTTACAGCAGGGCCATCCTGGCAGGTGCCCTTCTCGTGGGCACCGTTCCGAGATGGGAACCGCTCCCGGGGACCCTCACCTCCCTACCTCAACTCCAGGCCACTGGGGCAGGGGGCAGGGAGGAGGCTGAGGGCTGGAGTGAAAGGGGGAGGCACATGCCCGAGGGAGGCATGGGAGAGAGGCCAGGCCAGGCCACAGGGCACCCAGAGGGCACTGAGTCCACAGCCTGGCTCTGGTGCTCCAAGGTGTGTGTCCCAGGTAGGTCACCTCACCTCTCTGAGCACCGGTTTCCTGGCAAGAACACGGCAGTGATGTCACAAGAGCATGGGGACGATGCCGGGAGGGAGGGAGCACTTCCAGCACAGCCGGCAGGCCCCGAGAGCATGCTGCTCCCCACGTGGGGCCCGGCTCCCCCGCGGGGCACGCGCTCTGCTGCCGGCTGCACAGCCTCCCTGTCCTGCTCGCCCAGCATCAGGCGAAAGAGAACCCGGACAGCTGGCTCTCCTGGAACCCGGACAGTCACCGGAGGCTTGCAACAGCCTGAGAGGTCTTTCCCATGTGAAGCAGCGAAGTTGCTGTGAACATACTGAGCTGGGCACTGCCATCGGCCCAAATCCTGTCGCTTTCTGTGGGCTCCGCCTGAGCCGGGGACCCGGCCTTGCTCCTGTGACGCATGTGCCTGCAGCCCGTGCGATGGGCTCGGAGTTTCCCCAAAGCCCCGCCCAGCGCTCGGCCACCACTCCCCGCAGTGTGCTGCATTGCCCTCCCCTCTCTGGAGGCCGGGCCGCCGCCTGGGGGCTCGGGGGTGGGAGCCGCTCAGGGTACAGAGGCGGGAGAAGCTTCCAGCAGGGGAGAGGGCCTCGTGGGCCCTGAGGACGAGGACAAGGACCAGGACCGAGGAGGAGCATGCCTGGCTTCTCCTCGGCAGCAGAGGACAACGGGAAAGCTGCCGACCTTGGGCCGATGGCGGTGGCCTCGGCCTGCGGGCTGGTCACTGCAGGGCGGGGAGGTTCTGCCCTGCTGTGTGCACTGGCCATTGCCCGTTAGTCTCCGCAGCCTCAGCAAACAGGCAGATTCCACTTCCCAGATCCAGTTAGAAACCAGCCACCTGGCCTCTCCCCCCGCAACCCCCCCACCAGGTCTGGCACCTCCTCCGTAACTGGCCACGGAGGCCACGTGGGAACATGGTGGGAGGCATCCTGAGGGATGGGGTATGGACACCCTCCACCCCCCGTTTCCGTCAAAGCCAGCTCCTCCCCAGGCCTGCCGGGGCCTGCCTCTACTGTGTTCACCTCCCCATCCTGCCTGGGCCGGCCTCACTCCAGCCCCTCCTTCTTCAGATCTCTCTCCCTTTCCCACCGTCACGTCACCTCTGCAGGCACCGGCCCACCCGCTCCCCACGTTTCAGGCGGGTCTGGAGCGGAACTCCTGGGTGTTCATTAGAAAAGGCCCCCCCCTGCCCCAGTCCCCACCCTCAGCCCCACCAGAGCCAGATGCCTGGTCCCTCCCGTTTTTTGTTTTTTAAACGGTGATCATTCTACTTCTGACCACCAGAGGGCAGCAAGGCCCAGCTATTAGACCCACGGGCACCCTCCAAGGCTGGATCCGGGCTTCCACTCCTGTCTTGGGGGGCCTGGGTTGAGGGCTGTCCAGTAACCAGGAGACGGGTCCCCGGGGCGGATGGGACAGGGCTGGCATGTGAGTGAGGCCAGGAGAGAGGGCCAGTCAGAGCGGAGGGAGAACAACTACTCCAGCTCTGCTCCTCTTGTGCGGTGGCTCAGTTCTAGAAACGACCCTGAGGCCCAGACAGACAGTGTGAGCTGTTTGAGGAAACACACTGCCAGCGGCTGGCCGGGCTGGCCGGCCCCGGCCTCTCTCCCCACTTCCCACCCCCTCTCCCTGCCACCCCCGGGTCAGGATCAGCGCTGAGAAAAGCTCAGTCCGTCTGGACCTGTCTAGTTAACGTGCCGTCTGGTGTTTCTCAGAACGAAAGTGCCGACTGACCGCCCACGCCAGGCGGGCTGTTTTCACGTGACCTTTCTGTCTTTTAAACGCAGACATGGCGGGTTTCCCCACCGGGAAGTCACCTCGCCCCAACAGATTCCAACAGCTCGGTTCTTACTGATGCCACCTGCCTGTTTTCTCTAGCGCCTGCTGTTTGTTTGTTTGTTTGTTTGTCTGAATCCAAACCCCCACGCCCATGGAGAGTCTGGACTCGAATTTGGCTTCA